AAAAATTCGTGGTGAAATGAAGTATTTAAAGTGAATCGTGAATAATTAATACGAACAAAGAAGTATGACTCTTGCAAGGAATATTTTTATCATTTGCATAAATATGAATTGATAACAGTGGTTGTACTTACGCCAATGAAGCCGAACAACGAGAATATATAAATTTTTCCGGCCGTGATGTACATCATTTTCTGTCCATTCATGATACACGTTAACAATGCTTTTCTATCGTTGTATTCCACCGCTGGCCAGTCGATTTGATAGAACGAGTTACCAACCTTCTGGGACTAAAGCATACGATTACGTGTACATCTTAAACAACGTTGACAGTGTTAATAAGTTTTTTGTAAAACCGAGGAAACGGGGAAAATACACATTTACACTTATGCACTTCCTTAGAGTTGGTTGTTTAGAAAAAACTTAACACGTCGATAAATTGTTTATGGAATATAGTGTACGCACCTCGTGCATTAACTGTTGGCCTATGTAAGAATACAAGAACAAATAGGAAATCACAAGCATGATGTGCATCAGGAAATTGTATGCAAGTACAGGGTCTGTAGAGATTTTCTGAAAAGTGTAATAAACATTTAAACGAATTGATACGCGTACAGTGACGCGCAAATGTCTCCAGCCGGTTACAGTGACTCGCTACAGCAGTCCCGGACCACATTTAAATAATTTCAATCGAAAAAATAAATGTACATACTTAGTACGTTAACTTGATACAGAAAATTTACAAACTAAGTCGAAATCTTTTGAGAAAACAATTATTTACGAAAAAAATGGTATAGTAATTTTGCGAACACCCTGTAAATTCATTTTCCATTAAACAAAAAATTTATAATCCAGTTTTATCGCGCATCAGTCGTATAATAAATAGGAGTTGCTGAAACTTGTTTTGGTATGTAGCGTAAAAGTAAATTGCAAAATAAACGTAGAAGACAGCATAATTAATAATAGTTGTTACGTTCATCGTGTAGAGGATGAAACGCCCTTTAAAATGAGTGGTCGAACGAGTCGATAGCTTAATTAGTTCCAGAGATATAGCGATTTTTGTTTCAAGTCGATAGCGCGGTTAGTTCCGGAGATATAGACTTCCGAGTGTTTGTTTACGTTTCATGGCCGCCGCACGGCGCTCGACGATATGTATTCCAAGAAATACTACGGCCTTGACAAGGCTCTTGGAAATACTACGCCGAAACTGGGTCACGACAGACACGTGCGTGGGATAGGTCAGCACGACGCATGCGCGCGAGAGAGAGAGGTCCGACGCGACGCGTCAGACGGAGACAGAGATAGTCCAAATTAAAAAATTACCCCTTCACATAAATTACGATATCTCGAAAACGGAAAGTCCGATCGACAAAAACCAAAAGCCATTTTAAAGGGGAAGGTTTACCGCTTCCAACGATGGCTGAATTATGGATAAAGCACTCGTAGTTTCGGAACTACACGCGTCTAAAGTTTTATTACTTTTAATACGCGTTAATAGGCTTTCGTAAGACGGGGAACGGAATTTGAAAAATTACCCCTTTACATAAATTACGATATCTCGAAAACGGAAAGTCCGATCGACAAAAACCAAAAATCATTTTAAAGGGGAAGGTTTATCGCTTCCAACAATGGCTGAATTATGGATAAAGCACTCGTAGTTTTGGAATTACACGCGTGTAAAGTTTTAGTATTTTTGATACGCGTTAATCGACTTTTCTGAGACGGGGAGAGCGTGGATAGTGGAATTTAAAAGATTGCACTTTCATTTAAATTACGATATCTTCGATACGGATAGTCGGATCGACATGAAACAAAAATCATTTCAAAGGGGAAGGTTTGCCGCTTCTAACGATGGCTCAGTTTTGCAAAAAGCATGAGTGACTTCGGAACTGCACGCGTTGAAAATTTATGTATTTTTAATACGCGTTGATACACTATTCCAAGACAATGGAAATTGAAGATTCTCTCCTTCCACATTAACAAACAATAAGAATAGAAGTGAACATTGTAAAATTCATTCTACGTACACTATAGTTAAATGGCGCTAAAATAACATTCTATGCTAGAAATTTTAAACAAAAATTTTTAAAAACTGTCATTTGACCGGTCGTAGTAGGCTCAATGTTAAGAAAAAAGATTTATGGAAATACATTTGTGCGTCACGGTCACTGAACGGCGGCTTCGTGAATGTTTGTTCGTTGTTATGTTAATTTATATTCACATAGAGTCCCGCGAAAGCTTTGTCGTACGGTAATATAAACAAACATGGAGTCACGAGTTTGTACACGTACAATTTGTATATAATTTTTGAAAAAAAAATTATGAAATACTATTAAAAAAGTTCCAGTCGTACGCCAATGGATCATGGAAAATTTTTAAACGTTTTTACAATTTTATCGTGCGAGAAAGTATTGAAAGTTCGATGCAAAATATATAGGTGTGCGACAAAACTCTCTTAACACGTTACATTCTGAACAAATTCATTTACGTACGATCATTATAGTATACATAATTATGCCCAATCTCAAGCCGCGGCCTAAGAGTTCTAGCAGAAGGAGCAGATGAAAACTGTCGTTTAATGTCTCTGACAACCTGTAAAGGTGCTTTTGCTAAACAAACTCTCCTCGAACTTGAACAGTGTCAGAAATATCTACGGGGGTCACCGTGCATCGTTCTTTTCTCTTACGTCTCGTCTAAACTCCGCTAAACAGCTTGTTGGAAACTAGGGTCTGCGGGCAGAATTGAAAACGAAACGACAATTGTGACACAAATACGTGCAAACTTACTTTATCAGCATGAAATGCTCGACGATGGCCTTTCTGACGTCCTTCTTAAAGTCTTTGGGTTGAATAGTTTCGATTCGATTGGACAACACCGCTAATTTGGCACACAGATGCAGTACTAAGTTCACTATCAGACCAACTTCCCCGCCGTGATACACTGACACGTATATGATAGGAAATTGAAACATGTACACCAGGGCGTAGAGGCCAGGACTGTTGCTGTAGTCGAACCAGAAGTAACTATGGTAAGGCACGACGTACGTTAGAGTGAAATTACCTGTGAAAATATACATATGAAGAACAAGACGTCCGTATTTAATATGTTTCTCGTTCTTGCAACAATTTCACTATGGATTCGCGTCAATTGCATTGTTAACAATAAACGACAAGGCAAAATTTCAAACAAAAGAGGAACACACGACAAAGATATGTAAGAATGCATAAATATCGAGGGTATCGACACAAACACCGACACAAGTGTAAAGATCCCAAATGTGAAAAACCGTAGAAACCACTGTCGAGCGATAAACAATATATCTAAAAAGGTATCGTTAAAATTTCACGCCGATAATTCGATTACATATCGAGAAATCTGATTAGTTTTAAAACACTGTTATTCCTTCGAGTTTTAAAATTGAATACCAATATTATCTCTACAAGGAGAATTCACGTGGCAGTCGAGTGTTGCATGAAAAATAAAAATATGTTAAGTATCACTTCGTCCAGGTGAATAGGTCGTTTATTATTTAATACCTCGAACGAACGAAGCGACTATGTCTTTCATAGGTAGACAATACAGAGTTACGAGAACGGATATCGACAACCAAGCGACGAATCGGCCGATGCGACGAGACGTGATGTTGTAGCGAAAGTACAAACGCTTTTCCTCGTCGTTCCTGAAGATCGTTTCGTTCGCGATGTCCTTCTTCATCATGATGATCGCCCCCCTCAAATGCTTTCTGTTGCGGGCCACCACGAGGAAACCACAGTACATCGTGGTCGTTGCTAGCGTTTCCTCCAAGTTCAACGCCACCGCGCCGAGATCGCCCAGACAGTACGCCAGTTCCCAATATTGGAGCACCAATACCATCGGGTAATACACCACCACGAACTTAAACATTACGGAAGAGCGTTGCAGCGGCCAATTCCCGCCCACCCTGAGAAGCCTCTCGGTCAGAACGAGCGGATCTGTGACCTCGATCGACGTAGTGTCGACCTGCAACGTTCACCACGTGTTATTAATCCAACGAGAGTAGCGATCAGCTACCGGATTGTAACGTGCAATTGCACAAAACAGAACGAAACATTCACAAACATAAATCTCGTCGAACGAAACGTAATCCAATTTGATATTTGTTTTTCTTCGTTGGTATTCAAATAAACGTTGAAATTTGCAATTATTGTCAAAATAATTTGTGAGAGATCTTTGTACGTTACAACCCCCGACGAGGAGAACGAATCGCCTCACTTTCATCGCGGTTCCCTGGTGCGTTGCTCGCTTTACGAATTCAAACTCTAATTTTGCGACGGAGCATTTTGTCCCAGAGTAGTGGCTCGATCGTGATCGATAAGAGGTAATTTAGTATGAAAATGGACGTGCAGATAAAGTATCAAACTATTGCTTTCTTCGCGAAGGGTAATTTGAACTTCCCCGCGCGTCCCGTAATCAATTCCCCATTAATTGTACGTATTTCTATCTAAGCCGAAGCTCACTATAATTGCAGATCTTACTTCATTTCTTTTGCAGCTAGACCTTGTCACAATTATCGGTAATTACGCTTCGTACGATACTGCATTATTTATTGAAAAGTTCTGTCATTTTCTCGACCCAGGTGATTTTTCTGTCATTTACAAATGTATATGTCCACCGGTTAAAAATCATCGATTCGAGGTCGTTTTATTAACCTAACCTGACACGTTGCAAGTAAGATTTTGCAAGATTAGCGAAGAATACTCTGCCGACTGGAAAACTCGCCGTCTTTCCGAAGTGTTGCTTTATACTTACTTTCGCAAAAATTTTTTCTCGCGTTAGTATTGGATTCCAGACCACTGACTCGCCCACGATAAAAATAAAAACATTCTTATCTTGGTCACCGAAGGCCAGGTAAAAACAAATTTCAACAAACACGTATGCTAAATATAGACTTTCTGTATTTGTTATGGCATGTTGTTTCTTTTAATTGTATTCTGTATATTGACATTGTGTTAAAATTCTTTCTCGTGCCAATAGAAAATAATTCTAATCATACTATGTATCGCACTGTTACATTCCGGCTCGCAGCATGGAGACACACGCCATAGAAGTTTTTACAATCTGTTCGGAACAGAAATCGTTGAATTTTTTTATGTATTTCACAAATAAATAGTTAATTGAGACACATACAAACAGTATGATACGTATCATCGTAATTTATGCTTTATCTTCATCGAATTCGTATAACAGTTAACGTAACTTCTAGTAAGATATACAAATACAAGTTATCTTATTTCTATGCTTCATAGAAGATATGTCTAATTGGAGAAGTTTATCGTAACTCAGTTCGAAAATGTTACATAGACTTTAATATTTTGTCACATTTTTTTTAAGCTTTAATTGAATCGAATTTAATATACAATATAATAAATTTAATAACTCGAGCTTCGTTGTACCTCTTTATTCTATTTAGAATTTTTATAAAGTTGTTCCAACTACAAAGCTTCACAAATTATCGAAAAATTAAGATTAATGAAATGTATCATCGTTACTATCGTTCTCTAAATTGCTACTTACGAGAGGTTGTACTCACCTCGGTAAAACCGAACAGCGAAAAAGTATAAAATTTCCCAGCTGTCATGTACATAATTTTTTGTCCATTCATCATACACATTAACAACGCTTTTCTTTCGTGGCTGTCTACATCTACCCAGCGAATATCATAGAATGCTTCACCCAATTGTTGGGACTAAAGTATATTATCGAGTTAATATCGTTACAATAAAGCCACGAGAATGAACAGTTTGCCAAAAAAATTGAATTTCATATGTTTTCATGGAATTATAAACTTTTACACGCTAATTTTTTAATACGATCATACAGTTTCCATTAACACGATTTATATAGAGTCGCACCATTTTTTTAAAACGATTTATAATTATATTTTATATTTTATTTTATTATTATGTTTTTTTTTATTTAGTTGGCTAACTGTAATGCTATGGTATGATTAAAAATATAAATAAAAGAAAACATAATAATAAAATAAAATATAAAATATAAATTGTTAAATTGATACGAAACGGATAAGAATGTTATCCCTAATTAGGGACCGTAGAAATTCAAAATTTGATTAACACTAGATTTACGAAAGCCGTCAATTTGACGGGTGTCCGATTCCATATTTAAAATAGCAGAACGCGTAAATATTATTTTTTAACAACTCATGTTGAATTTGATCGATGCACTGGCACGAATACATATTCTAATTAAAAGAAAAATCGTACTGTACGGTAATCGTAAACATGAAAGGTGTCAATAAATATACGTGCGTTCAATGCCCGTAAATCTAGTGTTAAACGTGGATAAAGAAATACTCATTAACGTACGTACCTCGTATACTAATTGTTCGCCTATGTAGGAATACACGTATATAAAACCAGCTACAAGACTGCTGTGAATGATGAAATTTATTGTAGCTGCCTTGTCAACGCCGAGTTTCTGAAAAATGACATAAGTAAAAAGTGACGCATAAATATTGTCAGAAAGTTACAACAATTTATATCGATATCATTTCAATAGTGTTTCTGAAAAATAGAACGAACAACGTGCATTGCTTCGTACTAATTTCTATTAACGTAACCTTCCAAACTTTTGTCAGACGTTAGAATTAAAAGCTGCATCTTTCAAATACCCATACAAATTTCTATGTAACGATTTGTTTATGCAGTTTATGCATTCTCGTGAATTTATTGTATTTGTGTACGAAATTCTGAAGTAAACTCTAAAGTATATTAACGGACACATTCTTGCAACACAGTATTCTCAACGTTTTACATACTAAATAAATTTATTTACTTACGATTAGTACGAGGTATAACGATAAGCCCAATCTGACACCACAGCTCATGAGTTCTATCAGAAGCATCATATTGAAATTGTCGTTTAACGTTTCATGATACCTGTAAAAGACTTTTTTTCGACAAACTATTCTCGAACTGTTGCATTGCCAAATACGGGATCAATAATTCTTATTCGTCTTGTACAAGGTTTAATAAACGGTTAATTGTAAAAAGAAAAATCTGTGGGTACTTTGGATCTTGAACTTGGCCCGCGACAAAATTTTAATTGTAATTAAAAATGAACGAATAACGCATCAGAAATACGTACTTACTCTTTCAGCTCCAAATGCATGATCACTGTTTTTCTGATGTCATCTTTGAATGATTTTGTTGAGTCCACTTGGATATTTCGAATACGATGGGCGAGTATCGATAATTTCGCGCAGCAGTGCAGAGCCAAGTTAACTATTAAACCTACTTCCGCCATGTGGATCATCGGTAAAAAACACCAGAATATTTGGTAGGCGTACAGCATTGCATAGCGAGTCGGTGTCCTGTAGTCGAATATCATATGACCACGGAAAGGCGGGCGATAAACAACGCTATCATTAACTGTGAGAATATACGAAGAAATACATGTTTACGGGGGGAGATTTGTGTAAATCGCTAAAACTAAGGTTTTGGGTATTTTTTTTCTTAGGAAACAATTGAATAGATCTTTTCGAAACGTTTAAGGGGTCTGGCAACTCTAGAATATTGAAAAATTCGATTTTTTTTTTTTTGGCTTAAATAATAGTTTGAAACCTTCAAAACATTATGCGAAAGGTCTCAGTGTCGGAACAATGTTTTTGCTGAAAATTTAGAGCCCCAAACGATGACGTGTATCTGCGTCCTGTAGCGCGTTAAATGCATTTTCCTAGGAACTATGTTTTACAAAACGGTGTGCAGCATTACTCCAGTACTAATTAATCAATTGCTTTGAAAATTTACAGTTATCTTTACTATTATATTTATTAGGCATTGACGATCCGTTTTTTTCAAAATTGTCAAATAATTCTGCAAAATATTCGTAATAAGAACTCGTTTTTGTGTTAAAATTCGATTTTAAGTTTCAAATATCTGCCACATTGTTCATTTTTATATAAATTGAAATGTCTCATCGTCAATGCCTAGGACATTTATCATAGTTAATGGAATATTTCGGTTTTTGTTGTACATAACAACCATTTTACCACAATCCTGCACACCAGCTGGGCATCAAAACAAGAAGTGGCTCGGGAACATGGCGCTGTGTAGGCTTAATTATAAATATTTTTTAAACATTGCCAAGGGTTTTTTTCAACATTTGTTATACCTAAATACAGTGCAAAGTTTCAGGATAATTGAATGCTTACTTTATCTTCAGTGTTGCTTAAAAAAATGCCTCGTTTTCCATACCGCTAGAGGTACCAGACCCCTTAAGATATTAGGTCGTCCCATAAGTTCGTGCCGTTTGATATTTTGAAATTGATGAGGATAAAATTTGTAATCCAATAAAAAACAAAGAAAATTTGTCAGTCGAGGTGACTTCTGAAATTTCAAACATAACAACATCAACAATTCATAGAAATTTGAAACAAATAGATATCATGTCAACGTTCGAAGTTTGAAATCCACCCTAGCTTATGGAACAAAATTTTCTTGATCGCAGTAGAGTCTGGTCGCGTAAATATTTCTGTTGGCATATAATAAAACCGAATCTTATAAGGTATAAAATATAACAATCTCCAGGCTTATTAGTGGATAAACAATTTGAAAATGTCAACGTTTTAATGAAGAACGTTAAACTAAATTTGAATAAAATATTAAGGAAGTTTTGGAACGACGATACAATGGCTTTGCCAAAAGAAGGGGAAGGTGCTGTTGAACGAGAAGAGGTTTACTATTTTTCATAAAATTCCATCAGATGTTTAAAATATTATTTCAAGTTGCAGTAGAAAACTCGGCACGAATATATGGGACGACCTAATATTTTACTGAATATCGAGAAACAAGTATAGGGACTTATACCAGTATTTATTAATTAATGAATACCTCCGCTAAAAACATGCATTTCTATTAAAGGACGGATATACATCGTTATAACTGTAGTAAACGAGAATAATGGGCCGTATTTGCAGAAATTATAAGAGATGGAGTTGTAGTGGTAGTACAAACGCTTCTCCTCGATGTTATCGTACAGCGTTTCTTTTTCCATATTGTCTCTCATCGTTTCGATTATCCCCTTCAAGTCATCGCGACGTTTAGCTACCACAAGCATACCGGCGAACGTCGACATCGTTAATATAGTTTCCAATAAGTTGTGCACCATGTGGTCCTGCTCGCCTGCGACGTCGATGAAATCCCAAAATTCTAAACCTATGTGCACTGTATAGTACACCGCCGCGAAGGTGAATGCTGCTTGATTGCGCATCTTGGGACAGATACCGACACATCGAAAAATCCTATCGTTCGAAAGTTGCGGGTCTCTGATTACGAGGTCGTCCTTAACCTACAACGTGCAAATTGTTTAAACAATATCGAAATGTATGAATCTACGGAAGTACCGAGTTGTAACATGGGACAATCGAATTTTTCGAAAACCGTTCAGAATCATTATCAAAGCCATTATACAGGGTGTTCGGCCACCTCTAGCAAAAATTTTAATGAGCGATAGTAGAGGCCAAAATAAGACGAAAATCAAGAATACTAATTTGTTGATGGAAGCTTCGTTAAAAAGTTATTAACGTTTAAAGTGCCGCCCTTGCTGAATTTTTTTCTCGAAAATGCGCAAGATTTCGGGGGTATGTCTATTCACCAAAAATGACTGTAATTGAACCCTACAACCGAAAATAATTTTTCCACAACGATTTGCAATTTTTTAATTTTCTCGAATAATTTCACACCTTCTCTATTTTTTTTCTCGAAAGTGGGCAGGATTTCGTGGGTATGTCTAATGACAAAAACTGATTGTAATTGATCCCCGCAACCGAAAATAATTTTTCCAGAACGATTTGAAATTTTTGAATTTAATTGTTAATAACTTTTTAACGAAGCTTCCATCAACAAATTGGTATTCTTGATTTTCGTCTTATTTTGGCCTCTACTATCGCTCATTAAAATTTTTGCTAGAGGTGGCCGAACACCCTGTATAATCGTTTTAAAACTTGTTCGATTTTTCATTAAAATGTTATTCAACGTTGTTCTATAGTAGTAAAAAACGTAGAAATTGACCCACGACTTTTTATACAAATTTCTTGAACAATTCTTTCGCAGAAGACGAGGATGAAATACAATTATTGATAACTACTGAAATACAGTTATTGTTTTTCGATTCATTAGCTTATACAGATACGTGCGAAGATATTTTTCTTATACTACCAATGCTAAAAATTGCTACTAATAAATAAGTCTACCAATGCGACCGTTCTGCATTAATTTGCACACACGTATGATGTAGTATTCGAGAAGAAACGAATTTTCCGGAATTCCAACATCGTTGATTGCAGGTTTACAAAAGGAATCCGCAGATCGAAATGCAAATGTACAGAAAATTAATTATAATCATTTTTTCATTTTTCACTTCTGCGTTCGAACGAATCGTTGATCATCGATTGTCTCGCAACTTATTAGGAACTTCCGTATGTTACATCTCAGTTAAAAAGATCTGTCGTCTCACCGGCATCGCGATCCGTCGTGCGTTGCTCGACTATCGAATTGAAACTATAATTTCATGGATACAAATTTCGTTCGAGCACGGTCGGTTGGCTGCGATCGATGAACAATCATTTCTTATAATACTCCCCTCGCGAATTATAATTTTCACCATTAGTAAAAGTTTTTCATCAATCATTCAGCTTCTAAGTTACTATAATTACAGATATTACTTCATATCTTCCGTTCATGCCAGTGTCGATATATTCAGTAATTGCACTTGGTATATTTGCTGGACGAGCAGATAAAATATTAATCTATTGCTTTCTTGGCGAGGGATAATTTGCATTTCCCCGCCCATCGTTTCGTAATCAACTTCCAGTTAATTGTCGTATTTCTATCTAAGCTGAAGCTCGCTATAATTGTTGATGTTACAATTACCGGTAATTGCGCTTCGTACGATACTGCATTATTTATTGAAAAGTTCTGCCATTTTATCGAGCTAGGTTATTTTTCTCTCATTTACAAATGTATATGCCCACCGGTTAAAAATCATCGATTCGAGGTCGTTTTATTAACCTAACCCGACACGTTGGAAGTATTATTTTACAAGATGAGTTTCCGGTTTTCGTTGGAAGTGCTCGACCAAAGAATACTGTGCCGTCTGGAAAACTCGCCATCTTTCCGAAGTGTTGCTTTATAATCATTTTTTCATTTTTCACTTCTGCGTTCGAACGAATCGTTGATCTTCGATTGTCTCGCAATTTATTAGGAACTTTCGTATGTTACAGCTCAGTGAAAAAGATCTGTCGCGGCATCGCGATCCGTCGTGCGTTGCTCGACTATCGAATTGAAACTATAATTTTGGCTGCGATCGATGAACGATCATTTCTTATGATAATCCCCTCGCTAATTATTATTTCCACCGCTAATAAAAGTTTTTCATCAATCATCCACCCTCTAAGTTACTCTAATTACAGATATTATCTCATATCTTCTGTCCATAGACAGTGTCGTGATTATTGGTAATTGCACTTGGTATATTTGGTGCATTATCTGTCGGAAAGTTCTCCCATTCCCTCTACCCTTGCGGTTTTCTTAGAATTTCAAACAGTTTTTAGTTCATTATTCAAAAATCACTCTCATCAAACTAACTTTTAATAATCCGACATAGCTCGCTAAAGTGAAATTTGCAGGGTGAACTTTAACGTTTAGCTAAAGATTTTTTGGTACGAGTTTCATCCAAAAGAAATCAGCCTCTATTGAAAAATCACCGACATGCTTGTTTATTATTGTTTAAAAATTACGTCATGTAAAAATGATGCTATTTTGGCCAGGATAGCGGTCAAGCGTTTTAATAAAATCGACACGAGGTGGACTTTCTAAAACTGTATTTTATATGTGCTCACGGCAATAGCCAATACAATTCTGTTTTGAAACGGGCAAAGGAGAAGCACATGGCCTACTTCAGGCATTTATTTATTTCTACGTTTCTAACAAATCCAAAATTTCATATGACATCGAACCCAATAATATGATTAACGTATCAATGTTATAATGTAAGGGAAATAATTTAGGTCGAGATTTCTTGTCCTTGCGAAACGACTGTTCGAGAGCACAAAATTATCGTTTCTTGAAACCCGTTCGAGTACCACCAGCGTTGTTCAGCACGATCGTAAATCTCGTCTGCGATACAAACAATGATAAATCAGCTTCCGCAACAATGAAATTGCCTATACGACACGCGACCTCGTATCGCGCGCAGACACAAAAGAATTGTTCTTGCTGTTCGTAATCGGGTTTCTCATCGTACAAAATTGTGTATATTTACACAAAGCGCCGACATGGAACGATTCAAGAACCGCCATTCCCCAAGGAGGAACTACACCGGCTTACTTTTATAAATTCATTGGAAACTGATTACGAACTTCCAGGAAATTCAAAGAACTGATTTACAGAAACATTGTTTCTGAATGCAAAACGAATTAACAGAATAGTTCAGAAATTCAAATCTAAAAATACAGAATATATACGGGACGAAGTGTGAACGAAAGCGATAAAACGAATTTAAAGATCCGTGACAGTTAAAAAATTGCTAGTGCAAAGAAAGTTGAAATTCTTACATGATACGATGGTTAAAAATCTGTGCTTGAAACGAGCCAACTTCTTGGAAACATCGCCAAGATGCACTCGATCGACAGAAACGTGTTGGTTCTGAGACAATAAAGTATTTTCTATCGGAGAATGAATCCTAAGAGTTGTTCTCTTTATTACAAAAATTATTAGAAAAAACAAGAGACAATGAATTTATAAAGTTTCGAAGTAAAGTTAGCTTTCGTTTCACTTACGCGCGTAGACTCGAAAAATAATTGAAATTTCATAAATCAAATATCTTTTTAAGTATTACAAAATACGGTGATGTGGAATGATTTAACGATCTTTAAATATAATAAATTTTACGCGCGCAAGTGTCGCCTGTCGTCGTTTCCGGTAACAGGATTTCTTGGAAGCAATTTCGGCGTTGAGGTAAAGCACCTTTTATATTTACGAGATGCTGTTAGTTTGTCACCATGTTACAATGATCATTTAATTCTCACTCGTCATTGATAAGACCTCGTGCGATAATGATGGCGTAAACGCGCAAGATTCAGATCTATCTTTGTCTCGAAGCAGTGCACACGCATCCTCGAACATCTCGTCATTCGCGTTGGTGAGTGTCTTCCTGAATGCCATTTATTTATAGATTTTAAACAATATTGTGCGTAACGTTGCGTAAGATTTTATTTCAACAATTTTGTTACTCAAATACACGCAGATATGCATATGCAATTTATCATACATTGTATACGAGAATTCTCTTTAGACGTTATATTTATTATTAAACAATACAAACAATGCAACAGACGGTGTATTTAAATTTGCTGCTTTCAATGATAAAGAAACTTCTGAACTCGTTTCGTTTCAATCGCAATAGGTACATTTTCTATCGATACCTTGAGTTTCACGGTTTTTTAAATTTTTATACCATTTACAGGTTCTATTAGAGCATCGAGTTATTAACAAATCGATGGTGGTCCAAAAGTAGGGTCGAAACGTCTTGAACAGTCGCGTCGACCATTGCACACAAATTTTATTTTCTTCTTAGAATAATTAGAACATATATGTATATATATATCAAATCATAAATCCTCGTTTTCTGTCTGTATTTTAAATGTCTGTGTTTTCCAAACGTTTCATTTTGACGGACAAATTTATTTCCAAAGTTCCAGGGACCAATAACGCTGGTATAAAAAATATATCTCGTGTTGCATTTCTCTGTAATTCCTTGGTTACAGCAAATGAAACCCACGCGAAGAGATCCATATTCGCGAACGTTTTGAGATGAACGGTCGCCCCTGCAAAAATGGACCGAAATCAGAAGAAAGAAGTGAAAAATCCGCGTCAGAATGCCAACCCGTTGTCCATACTTACGTTCTGGTGAGAGTCGTTCTAACGGAGTCCCGTTTCTTTTCATTCGGGTCAAGAGCAACTTCTAAACACGTGTCGTTCGACGAACAGGTGGATCCGCAAGCTGTTCATCGTCGGTTACAAGAGAGAATTGGAGGAGAGCGATCTGTACTCTCCTCTGCGGGAAGACAAGAGCAGCAATTTGGGGCAACGTATCGTGAAAAATTGGGAGAAGGAAGTGACGCGATGCGAGGCGAAAAAGGATGGCTCGAGTCCAAGTTTGTTCAGAGTGCTCTATAAGTGCTTTGGTAAATTAATCATTAACACTGGATTGATGTTGTTCATTCTAGAATTTGCAATAAGGTACATTCCACGTGATTTTATGCACACCGCGTTGTTAACCCTTTGCACTCCTATGTCGAGTGTGATTCGACATCAATTTTTATCTCAGGAGCTCCCTCGTCAAGTCCCACCCGACACATTTTCAAGTCCAAACCAAAGAGATATCGTACACTTGAAAGTTAGAAAATGCAACAACAGTGTAAATGAAACAGATATTTTAACAGGTAAATTTCAAATAAAACACTTAAAGTCGTTGGGAGCTGCTGGTAACAAAATTGAAATATAATTCGGAGCGCAAAGGGTTAACCGTGGAAATTTTATTTTTAATTTCGATCGTTTCGAGCCACTGATCCCGCGTGTTGTTTCAGAATCGTTCAGCCTTTCCTGCTCGCTAGACTGTTGCGTTATTTCTCTGGTAACAGGAAAGGATGGAACGCCGATATATATTATTGCGCCGCGGCATTCTGTCTGTTGCCTTTCGTCGACAATATAATCATACATTGGTCGTTGCAATGCTTGATGCACGTGGGAATGAAGATCAGGGTGGCGTGTTGCACGCTGATCTACAGAAAGATACTGAGACTATCCAGTTCTGTTCTCGAAAACGAAACGTCTGCTGGACAGGTGAGGGATCGATCGAACGGGGTCGATAGCTTGAATTTAGATGCACGGCTTTATTCGTTCTCACTCTTTCAGATGGTCAATTTCCTGAGCAACGACGTTAACAGGTTCGATTACTTTGTTTTTAGTATTCATTACTTATGGATCGGACCGCTACAAATCTTTCTCATAGCGTATCTGATATATCGTGAAATCGGATTGGGCGCCATTACCGGAATGTCGACGTTTTTATTGTGCATACCGTTGCAGTGTAAGAACAACAATGAAACCGTAACGCATTAAGCGGCAAAATACATTTTCTGAATTTTTTTTTTTAAGTTAACGATGATAACAGTAATTCGGAAATAAGGTCGTTTACACGATCTTATTTCATTGTTTTCGAACGTAGGCCCCGTACACTAACGAACAGTCCTTACTCACGTTGGATTTTTTTAGTGTACTTAGGTCGAAAGGTGTCACGATTGACGCTCGGATCGGCGCAGAAGACCGACGACAGGCTGAGATTGATGAATCAAATTATCGCTGGGGTAGAAATAATCAAGATGTACGTCTGGGAAGTTCCGTATTCGCTTCTTGTCGAGAAAGCAAGACGGTAAGGAAACCTTATAAAATAACCTGACAAGTACTGGGATAAAAAGCTTAACCTTGTATCTATATTCGTCAAAGTATCGCGTAACTAAACGAATATTACAACATTTTAAACCAGAAAATACAATTATAAAAAATTATTTCGTAACGCTAACGGATAGAAAATTATTTCGTAACGTTTATCGTTGCTCTCAGACATTTTCTACAATATCCCTTCTCTGGGACTTATTCATAGAGTTTCCAGATACTTTGGTAATCGTGCTTTGTCAAGACCTATTCTAGAATATGGCAGCATAATTTGGTCTCCTCGTTGCAAAACGTATATCGACAACATTGAGAGAGTTCAACAGAAATTTCTTCGTCTCGTTGCTAGGCATAGTGGGTGTCCCATGCCTCTCGAATCACATAATTACGACGACTTACTTATTAACACTAATCTTCGAACATTGCATAATAGAAGAGAAATCACAGATATTATGCTTGTAAGTAAGGTAATCAATTCCTCTGTACGTACCATCAAGATATTTAAGAAATCACTTTCCATTTTATTCTGAAAGTCACCGCACAACGTTTGGATCACAGAATTGCGTAAATTTTCTTACACGCTAAAATTGATTTAATCGAATCGTTGGAAAGTCTAAAATTATCAACGTATTGTAAATTAATTTATTTTGTTAAAATAAAGGATTCCTGTTAATAAATAAATAATAATAATAATATAGTCGTCGATCTAAAGTCGATCTAATTTTAAAATCTAAAATTCCTTTCGATTATTTTACCAGCGCAATTCGGAATTCTGAATGGGATTTTTCGTTCCAGGAAAGAGGTGAACGTGATAAAAAAATACTCGATCGTCGAGCAGCTTGGGCTAACGTTCGATGTCTACGTTCCCCGTGTCAGTCTTTTCGTTACTATATTGACGTACGTCTTAACTGGGAACAATATCGACGCCGAGAAAGTATTCATGACCACAGCGTTTTATTCCATTTTACGAAGCTCGGTGACCATTGGATTCGCATTAAGTAAGTCGTTCGTTCATCGCGAGGGTAACTATACAGGATGGTCCACCTAAATATCTTCTCTAATTGTGAGGGTACAAAAAATATTTTGTATGCTATTCGAATGGTTTGAAAACCCCCATCTTTTGCAACAGAATTTTTTTTTGTCAAACAGTTTTTCGAAAGTGGTAGTGTCAATACAAAGAAGCGACTCCCGAATGACGTCTTGGTCTCTAAAGTCTCGATAGACAAAAGTTTTTCGTTTCCATTTAATTTTCGATCTCAAAGGTCATGTAAGGTACATATCTGAACGTATTTTTATATCAGCTACACGATGCAATAAAAAATATTATACAATTATACTCAAAAAAACATCGATAACCTTGTAAACTCCGAAAAAAATTTTGTTGCAAAAGAAGGGGTTTTTCAAACCATTCAAATAGCATACAAAATATTTTTTTGTACCCTCACAATTAGAGGAGATATTTAGGTGGCCTTATTTAAGTGGACCACCCTGTATAATTGACCGAATAGCGGGATTACTTTCAATTTTCTCTATCTTCCTGGATATCCTTTCACGCGCGACAAAACGATAAATTTCCGAAGACACAGAGATCCAGCTTGTATCGACGAATGAACGCACAATATTCGATTGTCTAGGCGTGCATAGTTTAGCGGAAGCGATAGTCTCCATCAGGCGTCTAGAGAAGTTCATGTTCCATCCGGAGGTGTCGAAATCCGGACCGGTGAAAAATCAAGTGGCCTCACAGTCGGTTCCCGTCTACTTGAAGAACGTCACTGCCAGGTGGGACCCGTTCAGAGAGTACACGTTGCAGAAGGTGGACCTGCCGGTTAGCGCGCGAAACTTCGTGGCGGTTGTCGGGCAGATAGGCGCCGGGAAGAGCAGTTTGTTGCAGGCGATACTTGGCGAGCTGCCTTTGGAGAAGGGCGTGCTGGAGATCGACGGGAAGATCAGTTTCGCTGACCAACGTCCGTGGATATTCGCCTCCACGATCAGACAGAACATCCTGTTCGGGCAGCCCATGAACGAGGCTCGTTACAACGAGGTGATCCGTGTCTGTCAGCTGAGACACGACATAGAGAACCTGCCTCATCACGATGGCACCATGGTTGGCGAGAGAGGGATCAATCTGAGCGGCGGGCAACGGGCTAGGATAAATCTGGCTCGAGCTGTCTACGCGGAAGCGGACGTCTACCTCCTGGACGATCCTCTGTCGGCTGTGGACAGCCACGTGGGCAGTCGGATCGTCGAAGAGTGCGTGTGCAGCTTCCTCAAAGACAAAACGCGAATCCTGGTCACCCACCAGGTGCAATACTTGAAGTCCGCCGATCAGATCGTCGTGATGAGCAACGGCTCTGTCCAAGCCAAGGGCACATTCGAGGAGCTCCAAACCATGGACCTGGACTTCATGAAGATCTTTCGCGACGTGGGCGAGAACAAAGAGGCGGTAACGTCCGTGACCCGTGTGGATAATTCGATCGAGAGCGCGAAGAAAGACGAACAGGTCGCGAGCGAAGAGCCCGCCGAGGTGGCGGAGTCGAGGACGGTCGGGAAAATATCTGGCACGGTATTCCTGGCGTATTGGAAGGCTAGTAGAAACGCTGTTCTGGTGGTTGTGATGCTGATACTGTTTGTCGGTAGCCAAATGTTGGCCAGCGGCAGCGATTATTTGCTAGCCCGTTGGGTGAATACCGAGGTCTCGTCGTGGGTGATAAACGAGAATGGTACGATGGATTTTCAATGGTATGGCCCGTTGTCCCGTCATGGAATTATTTATCTTTATAGTGGGATGACCATCGGCGTCGTATGCCTCTATCTGATCCAAACGTTCGCGTATTACGCGGTCTGCATGCGGTCATCGAAAAACTTGCACGCACAGATGTTTCGTAGCATCGTACGGACCGTGATGTATTTTTACAATACCAATCCGGCGGGTCGAATATTGAACAGGTATACGATTAAATATGTACGCCGACAGGGCCGGCTTACGGTGATACGGTCAGAACTATATACTCTGTCGATATTCGATCTACTTATTATATTTTTTATAATATTGAACTACAAAACCGATAGAGAAATACAGTAGCTCGCGAAAATATTCGACACAACAAATAGAATGCACACGTTAGGTTCAAGTTTTGCAAAATGAGATTATAAGTATGCATACGTAAAAGTACATCTGACAACGCATAGAGAATTTACAAGCCATTTAGTGTAAATATACTGTTTTCGTACGTAACAAAAGTATTCGAACGGTACGAATAAGCCTTAAATTATTTAATATTAATATCTGGTTGGTCCCCCTTCGGCTTTCCACACTGTATGCAAGTTTTTTTGTTGTTTTTCCCCCAATGGAATACCATATTTCTGCTATTTCCGTGGACGTTGTGTCATAATTTCTGAGTTTTCTTCCAATTTCAGTCCATAGATGTTCGGTAGGATTTATTAGTTTGTAGCGTATGCCGAGTATAATACAGAGTGCTCGGCCACCCCTGGTAAAAATTTTAATGGGGGATTCTAGAGGCCAAAATCAAGAATATCAATTTGTTGATTGAGGCTTCGTTAAAAAGTTATTAAAAAATTTCAAATCGTTCTGGAAAAATTATTTTCTGTTGCGAGGGTCAATTACAATCATTTTTGGTCAATAGACATACCCCCGAAATCCTACCCACTTTCGAGAAAAAAATTCTTTACCGAAAATATTATGTCTGACCATAGCATTGATATGTTTCACTGAAATTTCAAGCAAATCTTTTAAATGTCATAACTCCTGAACGGATTGAAGGATTTTAATGTTTCAAATTGCAAACGACAGGTATTGTGGTAAAGAATATGTAGACATTCCAAAAATATTCGAAAAGTTATTCCTTTACACAGCAAAATGAGAAAACCCCCATAAAAAGGGTTCAATTTTCAAACAGCCATAACTTCTACAATAGTGAATATATTTCAATGAAACTTTTTTCTGAAGTAGAGCCCATTGGTACCTACAAAAAAGTATTAGACAACTTTTCTGTAGAGCGTCAAATAAAATTACTAAAAATCAAAAACGAATTTTTAAGAAAATCGACAAGTGCCTAAAATTTTTCGGAAAAAAAAATTTCAAATCGTTCTGAAAAAATTGTTTTCGGTTGCGGGGGTAAATTACAATCATTTTTGGTGAATGGACATACCCCCGAAATCCTACACACTTTCGAGAAAAAAAGTTCTTTACCGAAAATATACCGTGTGGCTGGAAATGTTTCTATAACTTTTTAACGAAGCCTCGATCAACAAATTAGTATCCTTGATTTTTGTCTTATTTTGACCTCTAGAATTTCCCATTAAAATTTTTTACGATCCATTACTTTACAATTCCAGCTGTATGCTTAGGATCGTTGTCCTGTTGAACATAGAAATCATCAAGTAGGTTTAACTTAATTGCACTTAGTTTCATATTTTTTTACTTAGCCAAAAACAAGATTTCCCGTAGCATTCGCCGCCATACATCTCCACACCATAAACGAGCCACTTCACATACAATCTGATTTTGAAAATCTAAACCTAATGTGTGCATTCTATTTGTTAACGATATAGATTGGAAGCGTTCGAATACTTTCGTGGACTACTGTATAACAATTATAACAGTATGCCAACGATACACGGTGTTCCCAAGCGATCGTTGGTAATATTATTAAAAAAAAAGAAAAAGGAACTCTGTCCCTTTGCAACTGGCCATCAGATACAATTTAATCCAGTTTCTACAAATTACTCTATGCATTCAGTGATTACTATACAGGACAGAGACAAAGGGTTTAAATACCTAGAGCTGGCCCTGTACGCGAATATCAAATTGTCCTCCTATCGACGAAACAGACATTAACTACACCATTTCTGAAACAAGGTTTTCCAAAGATATCGGCATCATCGACAAAAGGATGCCGTTTACAATGTTCGACGTTATGATGATGTTCTTAACTTTCATGGGAACCGTGGTCATCATCAGTACCGTGACTCCCTGGTTGTTGATACCGACGTTCGTCGTCATACTGATTTTCTACTTTATGAGAGTGGTTTACATTTCGACCAGTCGTGCTATCAAACGCATGGAGGGTGTCAGTGAGTACCTTCTGGCAACAAATAAGATAAACGTCACGGAACCCGGCTAAAAATGTTACTTTACAGCACGATCGCCCGTGTTCGATCACGTTGGCGCTACACTGCAAGGACTAACCACGATCAGAGCGTTCAAGGCCGAGAAGATCGTCACGTCCGAGTTCGATAACCACCAGGACCTCCACACTTCGACTTGGTTCATATTCTTCACCACTTCGCGAGCCTTCGGCCTTTACATCGAGACGGTCTGCCTGGCTTACATAGCGCTGGTTGCTATCACGTTTCTGGTGTTCGACGACCTGGCCGTGGCCGGTGACATCGGTTTGGTGCTCACGCAAATCATGGCGGTGACCGGGATCTTGCAATGGGGGATGAGACAGACGGCCGAGCTGGAGAATCAAATCACTTCCGTAGAAAGAGTGTTGGAGTATAAACGTTTGGAAGAGGAGCCATTTTTGGACAGCACGCCTGAACAGAAACCACCGAAAGATTGGCCCAGCAAAGGCCTCGTTAAGTTCAAGGACGTGAAACTGAAGTACGGCCCAAAAAGCTCCTACGTTCTGAAAGGTGTGAGTTTCGTGATCATGCCCAAGGAGAAGGTCGGCGTGATCGGTAGAACCGGTGCTGGTAAAACCTCGTTGATCAGCGCGCTTTTTCGATTGGCGTACGTGGAAGGAGACATCGTCATAGATGGTATACCCACGAACACTGTCGCGTTGCACGATTTCCGTTCGAAGATTAGCATTATACCGCAAGAACCGGTGTTGTTCGGCGGTAGTCTTCGACGAAATCTGGACCCCTTCGACGAGTACTCCGACAAGGTTCTGTGGGACGCTCTGGAGGAGGTCGAGCTGAAAGAGACGATGTTGGACATGGCCGCTGGTTTGAACAGCAAAGTGGCCGAGGAGGGCTCGAACTTCAGCGTCGGTCAACGTCAATTATTATGCCTTGTTCGCGCGTTAGTTAGGAATAACAAAATTATGGTGCTCGACGAAGCCACTGCCAATGTCGATCCACAAACTGATTCCTTGATACAGATCACCGTCAGGAAGAAATTCATGGATTGTACTGTCTTCACTATAGCCCATAGGTTAAACACTATAATGGACAGTGATAAAATACTTGTGATGGACCAAGGTTACCTAGTAGTAAGTAACAGGTTTGGAAATCTTGACAAACGTTGGATACGTTTATGCACTTCACGTGTATTTTATTCTAGGAATTCGATCATCCGTACATTTTATTGCAAAAGAAGGGCCACTTTTACAATATGGTGCAACAAACTGGCGCTGCAATGGCAAACAGTCTGTCGGAAGTGGCGAAGAACGTAAGTGATAGAACGAATAAAGATGTAACAATGAGATTGATTAATTATACGTTTGTTTTTTCAGTGTTTCTATAGGAACAACGAAGCATCGTCTTGATGATAGTCAATTTCACGTAATATTTAAAGGTATATAATATATACGCAAATTCTTTTTATACGTCCAATTTGTATTTTACTATTTAGGAGTAAAGAAGAAGCTAAATATATCTTCAATTATACAAATTGCCATGAAAGTATGGTGCTTACCAAGGTATTACTAACGAATAATTATTGATCTAGTACAATGAGAATAGTGGCAGTTTTTTTGTAACGAATACGTAATTTCAATAAAATGCTATGGTACGAAGGATTTACAGCCACGTATTATAACGTGCAAGAATCGCTATTTTAATAGTCGAAAGTCATAGATATTGCCCAATTTCTTCCATGTAACATTGCGAAACTTATCGTAGAAGATTTCGTAATCTGTGCAAAACAGAAATCATTGCAAGTGTTTTTTATGCGCATAAAAGGAAACAGTAATTAAATACTGATAAGTATTTCCTGATTGTGATTCATACAAAGTTGACATAATATTTTCTGCTCTGTATAAACGAATGTTATCACGTTCGAATTAAAATGTGAATACGTCTTGAAAAATACGTAGACAAAAAGCCAAAAGTAACAAGTGTATTTGTACCGTAATAAATTTAAATTGATAAATATGAATAATTGTACCTATGTTGAAACCTACCAGCGAGAAAGTATATAATTTTCCAGCCATCGTTGACAAAGTTTTCTGTTCGTTTATTATGCATATCAGCAATACTTTTCTGTCGTTGCTGATCCACCAGCAGCGGTTATAAATAATAAAAAGGTGAGAAAATTGGTACATTTTTTTTTTAATTAATCTTTATTGGAAAGTCCTCGACTCACGAATTGAAACTACGATCGCGTGACTGTGAATTTCGATCCAACTTAGTCATCCGAGCTTAATCGATCAAAATTATGATCGACGCGTAGGCGAAGTATATACTTAACTGTTGCATAATTGATGTTCACTGTTATTCCACTTTTCTTTGCATTTATCGATGATTAGATGATTACAGTCGATACTAATGGTCTGTCGGAAAGTTCTGTCGTTTTTTCATCGTGAACTCGAAACTTTAATAACTACTTCAAAATCACTCTAAGAAGTTTCGAAGTCGTGCTTCAGCTCGTTGCTTGCAATCGAGAGGATGTAGAAACCGTTTATGTGTCAGTTTTTGAAACGTTAATGCAAACATACGATACGACTGAATTATTATTTTTTGTTTAACGATACGACTAAAAAGGATAAAAATATATACGAAATGCACTGTTATATTTTCGTTGCATCGTCGGTTCTTTGAGCATGGTTTCAGCTTATTTACAGACAGAATCTACGACGAAACAGTTTCTGGGGGTGGGTGTCGCCATGTTGAAGCCACCGCCGCAGAATTTCTTCAAGCTTTGATTAATCGTCGGAAGTACGGGCTCGTTCGTCGATTTCGGCTTCGACTCCTTCGACTTCTGTAGCTTCCTCTTCTGAGCGTAATATTTCATTTTCAACTCGCTCATTTGTCCGCTCATCCTGTCCATACCGACCCTATACTCGCTAATTTGCACCTCGTACATGCTCAGCTCCGCCAACATACACTGAAAATTTTAATTTACTTCTTTCGAAACCGATACTTGCACACTTTGGTCGATGGAATAAGTTTTCTCTTTATCGCGTTTCAAATTAAAAATCTGCTTATTATTAAAAATATTACTCGTAGATTTGAAGCCTCGATACAAATCGGAGTGGTTAATATTTATGTCGCGTTCCCCAGAAATTTGATATAATAGAAATTACCTTCATTTTCTGCCCTCTCTCGCGCAACGCCTTTTGAGTTTTGTTCAAAGAAACCATCGCCTCGGGTCCCGGGTGTTTCGACAATATTTCTCGAAGGTTCATGTACAATTTCTCGGTATCTCTAATCTTCTTCTCCTTCTCGATCATGTCGCCGGCCATCCTCAACACACGTTTTTGAAGAATTTGGATTTTCACCAATAGCTCGTAAGTAGAAGGATCAGAACCCTGTAAAAATATCAAGCAACGAGGCAATCGTGTTTTCGTTATTTTCACTTTTACGAGTTTCTTACGATTAAAATAATAAGGTACCTCGAGTTTTCTCCATCTGTGAATGTTCAACGGAGTCTGCACTTCCTCCTCGAGCGCCATAACTTTGAGCCTCTCCTTGGTCAAGTCGCGGTTCAAGTGAAACACTTCCTGCCTGAGATCGCTCATGTTCGCGATGTTCTTCATCAGTAAAACCTTCTCCGTCCTCAGATTCTTCACCTCCAGCTTCAACAGCCTGATCTCCTCCAATCTTTGGTTATACTGAGCTTCGCCCTGATGAAGCGTCCCGTGCAGGACTTTTATTCGACTGTATTGCAAGCTCAGCTCGTCGTTCCTCCTGACCAATTGCGTGCCCAGAATGTCACGCTCGTTCATCACGTTGTCGATGTCTTTCTTGTGACGTCCGATATCCGACTCGGCTCGCTGGAGCACCTGTCTCAGATTCTTCTCCTCCAGCTTCATCTCTTCGATCTCGTGTCTCAGATCGGTCACCTCCTTCCGGGTGGACTGCAGCTCGATCTTCAGTGCCTCCTTCTCTTTCTCCACGCGACCACGAACTGCAAAATAAATAATAATTGATTCATTGCTCGACGTAAGAATGTATAACAAGCATCTCTCATGACAAATTCAACCTCCTTTCCTATTTATTAAATCAATGTTGGCAGAGCAAGTGGAAAGTAGTTGCAATTATTAGACAATATATGACGGAAATATATTTGATTGTACTTGGAAAAAATAGGTATAGTTCGGGCCACAATATAGCGAGGTCGTAAACTGGAGTAGGTGTCAAAGTTCACACGTTTCAGCTCCCGAAACAAGTGAATTGACAAAAATACGAGCACTAAGGGCTTTAGATCATAGTCAGGGCCGTACGAAGAAATGTTTTATCTAGTGTTACCATTTTTAGAAAGCTATTTTTAGAAGTATCGTGATGGGTAAAGGTCTTACTCAAGTCATTAATATCTTAATTTAGTTATGGACATAGAAAGACATTCATAAAGGCACCCTCAAGCAAGATGTCAACCCTCAAGAGTACGTACGTATTATCGAATAGTTCTTTCTCAACGTTGTGTTTGTTGTATCGATCGAAACTCGAAATGATTATTTTTGAATTACGATTTGAATTTCGACCAAGTCTGATTTCTAGTAATTATCCTAGACGAAGCGTGTACAAAAATATGTAGAGCCAGCTTACGGAACTCCTCTTTGATCAGACCGGCCTCCTTCGACACGATATCCTCTTTCAGCTGTTCGATCTGATGGTTAACTACCTTCAGCTTGTTCTTCAGCTCCTGTATCTCATCCTGTGCCTCCGTTAGGGCTTTGCTGCACGAGTTCCTCTCCGCGCGAACTGCCTCGAAAAGATTCTGCTGCTGTCTGTATCTCGCCTCGGACTCCGCCAGCCGTTTTTTGTAACTGAAAATCTCGACTTGCTTCAGCTTCGACTCGCTCAAATGGTACTCCACCTATTAACGCGACGAAATTAGTCCGATCGGGACTAGAAATGTAAAAATCCAAGTCGAAGGTTCTTGAAAAATAATTAAAAAAAAATACTACGATAAAAATTGCAAAGAAGAAGATATTGTGAGAAAGACTGACGAGGGCTTCTGATTGTTTTATTTATTCGTACTGCAAGAAGACAAAAGGATTAAATACGTTATAATAAATCTCTTCTTTTCTGTAAACATTGCATGCCCAAACGAATTTGAACAAAATAAAGTTGTATATGTTTGAAAAATTGCTTCTAATTATAATTGTATATCAAGAGCTATAATGTACACAATTTTCAAGCCTGCAACCACAAGGAACAGATTGAAAATCAAGGACAAAAGCTCAGGTCAACACCTCGTACCAAAAATCTTTATTTTCCTAAAAAAAGACTCACCTGTTGAGCCAAGTTCTGAGTCTCCAGTTTATGTTTGTCCCTCTCCTTCTCCGCCGCGGCCAATTCTTTCTTGATCTCCACGATGTCTTGGGTGAGGTCGTCGAATTCGCGCTCGATCTTCCGTCTGCTGTACTCGTACACGATCATCTCGTGATTCTGTTTCTTGATCTGTTCCTCCATGTTCTCCCTGGTGCGGGCCAGGACGTTTTTCTCGCGCAGCAAAACGTCGTACTGGTTCTGCTTGTCTATCTGTTGTTTTCGAAACCCAGCCATTTGGTGCTCCGCGTTCTTGGTGTTCGCGTTCGCTTGTTTCAGCTGTTGCTCGAGGGACGTCAGCTCCATTTCGACCTTTTGCACCCGCTTCGCCATCGCGTCTCTCTCGATTCTGTTCCGTTCCACGGACTCCTTCATTCTGGAACGTAACCACGGGAAGACAGCTTTTTAACACGTTGACTGCCAGTCGAAAATCCTAAAATTGTTCACGGGACCGAAACTTTCATTTCAGGCGATTGTAAACTACGCAACTTAAAAGTTGTCGTAGTAGTTGCTTTCGTAACCTTGTTAAAATTTACGAAGCCTATTAAAATTTATTTTCTTTAACATTTCAACTTGAGAATTCATTATTACAGTTCTACTGTTAAAAGTTCTGTCACCCATATATGGGTGACGTGGCAGTCAAAGTGTTAAAGACACCTCATTGTCTTGGCCGCGAAGCACTATGCACTGCGTGGACCATGCATATTACACCAGCTCCTTACTTATGCTCGAAGGACCACCCAAACTGGTGTTTGGGAAACTACTGATACCTAAAGCCCGTTGCTTCTGATTGAGAGCCCGTTGCTCTTCGCGTTAGTTGCACAAGAGTATTCTAGAGGTTGTAAGGCTCGATCAAAAAACGAATCTAAACCGAAAACTTAGTGCTACCCTTAACCTAAGCTCAGCTTCTCCTACCAAGATGACGAAAACGCGCAGCACTAACCGGTGGGAGGATTGGTCGAGCCAATCCTCAAAGTCGTCACCTTGGCAGGGCGTTTCTTGCTTTTTGCAACATTCCTGTCCAGTGTCCAGGTACACCATGCAAGAGTAATCGAGAATATTGCCTTTTTTATAAACATTTGGGGAAAGCCAAAGCCCCCAAAATGGTCTGCAGATAGGTCAATTGACTCTATTGAGGCAAGGAAGAGCTCCAAGGATTCCAAGTCCCGTGTGGAGTTTGGAGTTTCCTTAAGGCCTAATCCTCAAAAATAGCGGAGAAGTCACGTCCGTATCACAAACCCCGCGATGTGAGGGTTCCTTAAGAATCCTTAACACCTCATCTTCTTTAACTTCTCGACGGAACGTTGCAAGGAACGTTACCTGTGTATGGTTTGCGTAGTTTGTTTCAGTTGCTTGTCCTTCTCCGCGATCTCTTTATCCTGGTGCTCGATTTGCGCGTTCGCGTTGTCCAAGTCCGTTTGCAGATTCAGTCGTTTCACCGTCAGCTTGCTGATCTCCTTTTGCATCCTTTCGCCGGACGATCTCTGCTCTTTCAGCAACGTTTCGAGCTTCATCACGTTGGCCGCCGCCGTTTGTATGGTCGTGTTCGCGGACTATAAATCAAACAAACACATGCACTGAGTGCTGCTGTATTAAATAGGGAAACTCATATAAATCCAGGATCTCGAAAGGAACAAAAACTTTGAAAGATTTCTCGTCCTTTGTATCATTCTTTCACGAGAAGAAGGCACAGCGTATTTACATCCCTCATTCCTGTTGCAGTGACGAAGATCAGTGACAACCAATCAGCGAACTGCAGCAAGAATGGGGATGCAAACACGCTGTGCCTTCTTCTCGTGGAAGGACGATATTTCTTTACCTCCAAATCCGTCGTTTTCTCGGCGAGTTCCTCTTGCAGATGCTGCATCTCATCCTCCATCCTCTGCCTGACTCTCCTCTCCCTCGAGAGTTCGCTCAACTTCAAATCCAGCTCCTCTCGCATGTCGTTCGTTTGCTGGTCCATCTCGCCGTTCTTCTTCTCGAGTTCCTCGGTGTACAGAACCATATTCTTCAGCCGTTGCCTCAACGTGTCCATCTCGCTGACGAGCCTTTCCTTCTCCTTCATCAGATTCTCCTTCTGCTTGGCGGCGCTGACGCTGTTGATTCGGTCAGTCACGATTATTCACGACAATCCTAACAACTCGACGTGAAAATCTTACTCTTCCCCGGCCGCGAGCTGCCTGTTCTTTTGCTCGATCTCCTGGTTCAGTTGCGTCACGTTCAATCGCAGATTCTCGATCAATTCTTGCGCGTTTTGCTCGCGCGTGTGAGCGGCGTCCGCCCTCTTTATCGTGTTCACTATGTCCTCCTTCAACTTCTCGATCTCGTCGTCGTTGTTCGAGATCGTGTCCGTCAGCTCCTCTATCTTCTGGTGGTTCTCTTCCACCTCGCTCTGAAATAACAAATCGCATCAACCAGAATCTCGATATCTTGATTACAGATTTTAAAATCAATCCTGAAAATATTCTAAATTTATGTGAATTAATTAAGGTACGAATTTTTTTAAAAAAAGAGAGACAATTATACCTCTAATAAATGATTCTTCTCTAACAGTTCTTTCTCTATTCGATGAGCATTATAGAGAGACTCGTAGAGTTTGGTGTACTCGACCAAGAAAGGGGCCAACGCTTCGTTGCCCTTCATTTCCTTCAGGACCTAAAAAATAGAATTTTAATGCAGATTTAATAAACGGACTATCTAAACTTCAATCAACTCGATTGAAATGTTGAAGCAATTGTGTGTGACCTATAAGCAATCGGTATAAAATTATTCAGTCGTTTTACAGTTAAAAATTTGTGTTTATTGAAATTTACCTTTGAGTTTATATCACGTTGTTAGCATTTATTGTGTAATTTTTTTTAGAAATCTAGTTTGCACACGTGAAGCAAAGTTAATGCTTTAAAGAGGGAGTCTCAAAAATATCAATTTTTTTTTCTTCATTTTTTGAAAGTATATATATTTAAGAATGTATTGTTAAATTTGGAGAGACAAATGTTACATCTGACGTTATGATTCATTCATTATGATGCAGTTAGTTAGTTAGTTTGCTGTTAGTTAGATAGTTTGCAGTTAAATAGTTAGTTTGCAGTAAATTAATTAGTTTGTCAGTTAATTAGTTGGTTTGCAGATAGTTAGTTAGTTTGTCAGTTAGTTAGTTAGTTTGCCAGTTAGTAAGTTAGTTTGCAGATAGTTAGTTAGTTTGACAAGTATTGTGAATTGTATAACAATTTTTTGTATAGTTTATCATATCTTTTTTATTAAAAAGTTGCAAAAGAAACGACGAAATTTTGCAATTTTTTCTTTCAGCTTTCACCATTTTGTTAATTTGCAACATAAATTATTTTGGTACGGGCGATTACTGTAAACCTATCAAATAAATATCTTTTTTTTTTATTTAGACAACCTTAAGAGCTGCAATCACCTACGCCAGTGTTTAAACACATGTTTACTGCAGGCGTGATAACAACGTTAAAAGTAAATAAAAATTAATAAAAAAATTATCTTGTATCCCCAAAGGATAGCTAAGTAAACTGCAAAAAAGAATCATAACGTCAGATGTAACATTTCCTTAAAAAAAATTAAGAAAAATGGTTCTGTGGCGTCGCCTCTCATGCTCGCCACCAGAGGGCTCGCGCTCTCTCACAAGCGCTCTTACAACGGATCCTCACCTTGGAGTAATTCTTCTCGAGTTCGCAGAACGTGCTACTGGCCGAGCTTCCGTCCGACGTAGCTTCGCTGCTCTCGCTCCCATCATCCTGAAACGCGTTAATCCACCATGCTGGCAGGATATTCTTCTCGTATTTTTTGTTACTTTATCATAATAATCGTCACCTAGCCGCGCCACTGACTGACGGTTGGCGTGAACATTAATCGCGTTGAGAATCTCGTAAGACTTTCAGAACTGCAGTAGCGTTTCATAAATCTCGCGATCTTTCCAAATACTGCCAAATTCTTTTGGTTTTTTTTTTTTATACTTTGAGTCTGAGACTTTGTTTGTTATCGTAAATATCTTCACAATCAGATCGAACATTTAAAGGGGTGTTTTACCCTGAATTGCATATTTTTAAGTCTTTCGATGATTAAACGTTTTTTGAGTCATTATTGCGAATTCTGTTTGGAAAACTCGATCGAACTTTATTTTACCAGCCAAAAGATTATTAAGATAGAGAGAGTTTAGACTGCATACGAGCTTAATAAAAATTCTAAAACGTTAGATAAATTCCTTCACACGTTGACAATTCACAAATCTCAGACCAAAATTATCGTTACTAAAATATAAATTAAATCGCGTTATGGCAGTAGAATCGAAGGAAATGAAATGTTTTCAATACACCCTCTGAGGTTATAGAAATATTTTTTGAATAATGTTTTGTAAAATTTCTTACCGCTGATAGTCGCGCGGTTAGGTTATAGATAGTTGAAATAATTCAATTCTAATAACAACATCGGCTTCCTTCGCTGTCTCGTCTTGATTTTCGTTCGTCTCGCTCGCCATTGTCTTTGACGATTTGTTATATTGCAAAAAGTTACAAAGTATAATATTTTAATAAATCACACGTGTAAAGATGAACAAGAAACGACTCTGCGAGAATCGAGTATGAACCGATTAAATACGATTTCAGGGCACTACAATTGCGCGCAATTGACGAAAACAAAAACTAGTCTCGACGAAGAAAATTTTTTTAATACATCGACTAAACGAAGATGTTTCAATTGTCGCGTATGATTTTTATAGAAAATTGTAACAAAGAAATAAAATAATTTTTTATTTTTATAGTTTACAAGATGAATCCAAAATTGATGAATTCCAATAGTATAAGAAATAAATATAAAATCAAGTTTTTCGAAGTTTTTTACATTTAAATTAATACACGTTTGAATGTACTGAAATGGATATATTTTAAATATTAACAACATTTACTTACGCCATCTAAGCCAGCGTTCATCTCCATGTCCATCATGATGTCGGTTTGAGATGTTCAAAAAAACTTGATAAAATCGAATTTTCTAATTTCACTAGTTTTTAAAAAACTTAATAAACAAGAACTTGTAACGACACTCTGGTGTGACTGTGTGTCGTAAAATAATTCTACTTAATTAACAGCCTGCTACTCGATTGCAAGAACACTGACATTTAATTCTGAACGACGAATTAGAAATTTTCGAGCTAAAATGTGAGGTGGTAAAAGTTCAAAATAATATAAGCGTAATATCTAGCAATTTAAATTTTATTTATTTTTAAACAGAAATTCTAATGATAGCCGACTAGCTCTAACGAGTAGCAGAAAACAACACTGTGCGGAAGAATGTGCTTTTCAACCTTCACTATCGCGATTTGACCTTGTTGATTAGTATCCATGGAAGCGTCCGGGGAATCCCAATTTCTTGACAAAATGTAGGAAATCAATAGCCACAAATATTTCAACAAACTAGTTTAAATTCGCAGTCATTAACTCGGTGTTACTGCTACTCTACTTTTTTTTGTGCCTGAACATAGTTTCAATAATCTTGCATAGTTTTAATAAACTTAGAAGAGTATTTTTATAATAAAAAATAATGCATTATTAAACGAGCGATTGCACCGCCATCTACGGCACAACGTCCAAGTTTGTCGAGAAATAGTAGGCTGTACTCACCGCTAGGTAACGCCTCCTACATGTAATGAAATTTAAAAATTTTATAAAAATTGAGGGGAATTTCATTACAAAAAAAATGTCAATTAAGTTTCGGATTATTAATCTAAGCTAACGTTTTAATTAACTCCGTTGCCTTGTATTGGAGCCGTCTGTAGAAAGTGTAGAATCGATAGAAAATTAGATAACCTGGAAGATTTATTTAGAAAACTTAGAAATAGCTATTTTAAATTAATTTGAGCAATATTAGGAATACTATAATAATTGTTTACCATATACGGATAACTTCCAAATGATTCACTCCGACAATAGCCACTAAGGTAAGGAAGGAATTCATGTTACTGACAAGGGAACATACAATAAAGATTTTTTTTCTCGAAAGTGTGTAGGAATTCGGGGATATGTGTATTCACCAAAAATAATTGCAATTGACCTCCGCAACCGACAATAATTTTTTCAAAACGATTTGAAATTTTTTTTTCTCCGAAAAATTTAGGCATTTGTTTTTCATTTTTAATAATTTTGTTTGACGCTCTACAGAAAAATTGCCTAATACTTTTTTGTAGACGCCTATGAGCTCTACTTCAGAAAAAAGTTTCATTGAAATATATTCACTATTGCAGGAGTTATGGCTGTTTGAAAATTGTACCATTTTTGGGGGGGTTTTTCTCATTTTCCGGGATCAAGGAACAACTTTGCGAATATTTTTGGAATTTCTACATATTCTTCACCACAATACCTGTCGTTTGCAATTTGAAACATTAAAATCCTTCGATCCGTTCAGAAGTTATGATTTTTTAAAGACACACATAACATTTCAGGGGAATCGGAATGTCAGAGTCAGACATTGTATTCTCCGAAGCTGGTACTTTTGATTCCTTTCGCTAGTAGTATTACACATTACTTTCATAATTACTTACTCTACACCCCAAATAATTTAAAAGCAATTTGAAAATTAAACCTGTGCCCTAGCAAAATGATCAATCTCTGACAGTTTGTGACATATTTGCTATGTTTTCTGCGTATAATGTTCGGGAATTCGCGACGGAATTTTGTTGTTTACGGTAAATGTCCTTTATTTATCGTATGACAAAAACATAATGCGAATATCGGTTGCTTATATCGTATATATACATAATTTACAATCGTAAACGTAAATAATACAAATATATATCTGTAAGGTTCACAGTATTAATAAAGACAGTTCACGGATATAAGTTGAGGGCACGGGAAGAGCTTATACATTTTCCACCCATAGATTTCCGAGTACAATATTTTCAATACAATCGATAGTTTCGTTATTCGTATGACTGCTTACCGGCAGCAACCACACATCCCTTACGATTACGTGTGTATAAGATGTACGATAGAGTAATGTTAACAGCGAATATAGCCCAGAGATTAATTCCTACGCTTGTAAATTGGTACCCCGTTTCGATTCCTCGATATGATCGCTAATTGATATAGGATCTCCAATCGTAGACCTTATTCGTGTAAATATTTACAAAGCAAGTTCACTTACATCTATAGCCCAGATAATGATCCGCTGAAGTCGTGGTCATTCGCACACTTTCGACGAGTTCATGTAGTTTCGATGGGCAGACAAATGTTCACGGGAAAAGTAAAAACTGCTCGATTCTTCCGTTCTCGGTGTGTCATCGTTGATATTGGGAAAACGTTTAATAGACGAATGGAGGGTCGAAAGTGCGCGAAGGACGAGGTTGCATCGCGCAAGGCATACTAAAATCTACGTCTTATTGTCGCGTCACAACATTTTTTAACGGCACGCTATAAATAAACGAACAGCAGCATCGTTTCTACACCGATCGTCGATCGTCCACGCGGCGATCGACGCTGTCACCGACTAACACGCGATAACTATCGATACTCGCGTGCTCGGGCCCTAATTCGCGTCTCAGGCAACACGTACAAGATCCTCGATCGCACGCTGAGCAGCAGTCTACGGAAATGGAAGACATGGATTTCGTTCGCGTCCCTCGGACAGCTAACTTAAACGCTAACGTTCGTTAAGTACGCGCTGATCGTGGCTCCTATGATACAATCGACCATAAAGAACTAGGCGTACGCAGACCGCGTCGATGCACGTTCAACGTCGCATCGCGTCCACGTAGAAATATCGTTTATTGCATAATACACACATTGCACGTCGGTGTCCCGTTCACACGCCTCAATCGGAATAAACGCGAGAAACGCGTCCACCTCTACGATAATTCGTCGCGAGCCTTTTACCCGGCCCGTGCGTCGGAGCGCGTGAACCGGACCTTGCGTAGAGAACTCTTAAGCCTAAAAGCGATTAAACTACCAACGTGTATTTTCTCGATCGCGTGCCATCGACGAGACATTCGCGAGGAACATGCGACGGGGGATGAAAAGGTAGAGGAGAAACGGAACGTTTACCCAGTAAAACTAACCTTACGCGCTAACCGGAGGGCTAACCTACGAGATATGTCGATTCGTGCCTGTCCCCCATCGCCCGGCTCTTCTTCGTCCTGCTCAAGGTATAAGGTCACAGTTGCAGGCGGTACCGCCGTGGCCGTTGTCACACTGAGCCATGCACCACAGGTCCCAGTCGACGGGGTCCTCCGTTGAGTCGACTTTGGCGGGAGCATCCAGGTTCGAGACTCCAACGTCCACGGAGCTCTCCCAGTCTTCGTTGTTCAACCGAACGTCCTCGATTAACCCAGACGACTGCATCTTATGTCTGCTTCTATGATCCTTCTCGACTTCGATGAGAGCTGCAGCCTTCGACATGCTCGATCGTTCGTCCACCGAATCGCGACTGTAGGAATCCTGGAACGATACGTCCAACCGTGCGTCCTCCGTTTCGAGGGTCCAGGTCCCGTGGCAGGAACAACCGCGTCGACGGATCATCGACTCCCTGAATACGCGACAGGTCTGAGAGTCGTCGAAGCGCAGGGGATCGTTTCCTGGACCGTTGCACGGGGTCAGGCAGAGCCCGAGGAGGCGCTGGGTCGGGTACCGGCCTCCGGTGGACTGAAGGACGAGTCTCTGCCGGTGGTCGCAAACTCCCGTAACCTCCAGGCTCCTATCCCGTGCTAGGCACAGACGGGCGCATGCGTCCTCGTGCGGACGCGCCTCGGCGCCTGCCAACAGCAACGCCAGCAACACCCATCGGGGCATAGGCGTCATCTGAAACTGATGGCTAATCAATACCATAGGCGAACGAGGAACACCGCGTTCCGATAGTCCGCGGAGGAACTATCCGGAGGGATCGGTTATGGCAATCGGGGAATTCCTCGGGTTCGAACGGTCTCTCTTTTCCTCCCTCAATACAGGGTGTACCACAACGAGCGAACCGGTGGACGATTCCTCCACAAAAAATAAACGAAAAACGAGAGAAGTAACGCTTCCCTCTTCGAGCAATGGTTTCACAGGGAAATTGAAAATTGGAGTTTTGAGTGTCTCTTTTCCTCCCTCTGTTCCCCGAAATACAGAGTGTACCACAACGAGCGAACCGGTGGACGATTCCTCGAGAAAAAATAAACGAAAAACGAGAGAAGTAACGCTTCCCTCTTCGAGCAATGATTTCACAGGGAAATTGAAAATTGGAGTTTGGAAAATCAAAACAGTTTTACCATTTGAGATTAGTAGTGGCTGAACCCAGTAGCTCTGATCAAAGAAGGCTCCCAAAATGGACGTTTCAAAATCTCAGTGTTATTCGTATATGATACGAGAGGACTAAGCAAATTTGTTTTTTATAGAGAAACATTAACGTGTCTGACTCGTTAGAATTCTTGAAGTCAAGTTTCACAATCATGAGGCTACTCGTTTTTTTTTATTTTTTTATTTTTCACGAGACATTCGTAAAGCAAATCTTTGTCATGACTAGACTGCGGATGTTTATACATTTATGGGAAATTCTAATCCTCAAAAAACTACAGAGTGCATTTAATATGCAAAAATGTAAGAAATACTTAAAGTAAGATACGAATTATTATATTTAGGGGTTGAGACAGTCCTCTGCGGAGCTTCCGTTTCATTAATTCTATTAATAAAAATGTGAATTTGCATAAAGATCCGCAGTCTGGTCATGACCATTGTACAAACAAATTTAAATAAAATTAAATAGTATACCTTTGAAAACTAACATTAAATTCACTACTTCAAGGGGTTAACTAATGATTTTGTCGCGTTAACGCCACGCTGTTAACCCCTTCACGCACGATTTAATTCCAAATAATGTTTCAAACGTATAATATTTAATTTTGTTTAAATTTGTTCGATCAACACTTTGACTGCCACGTTACCCATACATGAGTGGCAGGATTTACCAATACGATACTAGAAAAAATTAATTCTCAAGTTAAGACGTTGAAGGAAATAAATTTGGATAGAATTTCTGAATTTTAACAAGATTACAAAAATAAGCAGTGAGACAAATTTTATGTAGCTTAGAATGGACTAAAAATCAAAATTTTACTTTTGCAGAATATTATACGGTTTTGATCTGGCAGTGAACATGTTAAAGGGGTATTTCACCCTGAATTGCATATTTTTAAGTCTTTCGATGATTAAACGTTTTTTGAGTCATTATTGCGAATTCTGTTTGGAAAACTCGATCGAAGTAGTGAGACAAATTTTATGTAGCTTAGAATAGTCTAAAATCAAAATTTTACTTTTGCAGAATATTGTACGGTTTTGATATGCCAGTGAACGCGTTAAAAAAGAATTTGTTTTCCGAATACCTCGTGAATGTAAAAATGCGTTGATTTTAATAAGACTTGATGACAAATGAGTAGCCTCACAATTGTTGAACTTGTCACGAGTCGGACTCGTCATTGTACATCAAGAAGTTAATCCATTTTTCATTTTTTACAAATTTAAACAAACTCAAGGGTAAGAAATAGATTTCTTTCCGATTTTTTGCGATTAAAATCGTAGCCAAATGTCAGACACTGAACGAAACAAATAGTGTAAGCATTAATTATGGTCTATTCGTTATGGAACGCACTGTATCCCAGAACCTCGGTTGGCACGCGGATAGAGAGAGTAATACCAGGATCTTGGTATCCGTTATCGGTTTTGGGTGCCGTGTGTCGATAACTAGTCCCTCTGCTACGAGTTTGCTTGTGGAACGAGGCGTGCAGACCGGGCAACCTTTACGATAAATTTCTACTAATTGTCACGGCTGGTTGTTCCACCGGTACGATCGCTTTGCTTTATTCCCGTCGTCCAACGTTTTTTCCCCCGCATCGAAGATTTACGTTCTTTCGCGGGCGATCGCGAGCAACGAATCGATCCTCGATTCGCGCAAATTTCTTCGCGCAATGTTTAAAAATAGTACACGATCCGGAGACGATTACACGATTACCTGGCACGGTGTTTTATAGCCTGATCCGCTTTTGCCTGGCGTTTCAATTAAACCGTCAGCTATATGTACATAAATTACGTACAGAATCGTTGAAACGACGCAACGATTGCTTGCAAAAAGAACAATCGACCGATCGACGTTCGTTCCTTGGCGGAAATTGAAATCAATTATCGATAAAGGATTGTCATAAATATCGTGTCCCTGAATCGAAACTATTCTCCTTCCTGGTGGTTTTACAGAAAAGTCGAAATAAAAAACACGTTGATGGGACGTTGACACTTACCTTTTTTATCCTAATCTGATATTCGCGATATGGAGCGTCTCTGGTCCGAGCACAGCGAGCTGATCGCGCAAAATGAAGAGAGAGATTTGTGGCTTTACGACGCACGCCGTTGGCTTGAATGTTTGATTACCGACAGCATGTATTCGCATTAACTATCATTGGCCCTATCAACTGGTACAGTCTGATTACGTACAGCGTATCGAACGAGCGTAATAAACGATAACGTTCTCGCACTTTTCTACTGACGATCGGTTTCTTCGCGACAGGTCCTCCGACAATTCGAGAAACAGCGCGATTACACGCATTTTATTTGTCTTTTGGTGTCGACCATTTTGTAATTTACTTTTAAGTAAGAGGAATTTGTTTTAAATAGTTTTATTTTAGAATATCGTATTTTAATTACAGCTGCGTTTTCAAGAATTACCAAATCATAGACCAATCGTAGATTTCGACGTTTACTTTAGAATTGTTTGTTTGGCCGTGGAACCTTATCGCGACGCTGATAATTAACGACAAACAAAGATCACATAAAAGCGTAAAACCGCTAGATGCACACGATAATACCACCATTTCAGATTAAACAATTTTTGTTCCTTTTTCAGCGTTAAATCAGTAAAAATAAATACTCCAACCACCATCGTTGCATACTTTTTTCATAAAAACATTCTTCCTGTTTCAAAAATAAATTTTAGTGTAATTATTTACCAGTGTAAATGCTAGTATTAAGAAAGTTGAACGCGTTAAAATGTTCCATTCAAAGTGAAATGGTATTTGTATAAATAATATTCAACAACCAACGCGAACTATCTGTCAGCATCGGAACATATAATTCAGAAACAAGTTGAACTATGTTTAAAAATAATTTTTACGAAATCTTGTACATTATTTCTAGAAAACTAGGAAACGAGCGTTTGCAATTTTTTAGCGTTGCTTCGCGTGTGTGTGTACTTTTTCCCTGCTTTTTTTTCGGGGAAAATTTTTGCGCGACTCGCTGCATACATATTTATTTTCGAAAATCCGAAGGCTGGGGCTCGCCTCGAGGAAAAATATACCCAACGCGAGGGAAACGCGCGCTCGTGAAATTCGCAAGGTTTTCAATCTAGGTTACGCGAAATTCGTTTCACGAGATAAACGAGCTCGTTGTCCGCCTCCATGAATATTCGCGATCACGCGTAACCATTTCGCGCGTGTATGGACGGCACATGGCAATGTCGAGGATGCGTACGCCGGAGTATCAATCGTTGTCGAGTTTCAGTCGCGAATTCGAGTACGCCAACTATTTGCTCCGTTCGTCGTAAGCAAATTACTGTGCAATTTGCGTCGATCGAGATTCGCGGTATTCGTAGGAAACAATTACGAAGTACACACCCTTTAGGAAGCAGCGAACAAATTGAAGATGGAGCACAATTATTATATAATACATAGAAAAGGCTACGAAGTTACTGCAGTGCTTATAACTAACGATTCGTAACCTCCAGCGATCTGATTATCCCGTCATTAAAACTGCGGGGATAAATTAAAAAAGTTTAAATTGCCAAGTGAGTTGACTAGATTACAAATTCTGCTGAACCAGTAGAATCAAAGCTTGACGCATAACGGGTAGGTTTAAAAAGAGGGTAGTACCTTGAATATCTGGCAGGAACGTTGAAATTCGCTAAGCTTGAAATTCGTAACCTGAGGATTATCTCTTGAACCCTTAATGACTTTATCCATGAAGCAGAAATTACGGATTTTTCTTCTAAATTCCAGGGAATGCATATCGAATGGAAACTTTATCTACTAAAAATCGCAAAAATTTATGTTGAGTTCTTTCTAATTATTGCTTATACTCACTGAAGAAGGGAGACCATATAACAGATTCATATTCTAAACGAAGTAGAAAGGGACAACGTAGAGTTTTGGTGGCCAATGACGAGATTCTGTTTCTTTGTTTAAAGCAATACATAAATCTAACGTGAGATAAAAATGTAATTAGTAGAGTTTCTGAAACAAAGAAGAATTACCCCCGGAACATGATCGATCATCTGTAAAACTTAAAGACACGATAACCAGGTGTTTTATGCATTTCTTCGAATAGCCTGTAATTATTTCAAAAGCTATTCAGAGGTAATCAACGAAACTGTTTTCTAGGAAAATCGTTCGCAAAAGCCTTTTGATTTCCCTTAGCAGTAAAAAGAGATCAAAATGGGATTTGTTCGTATCAGGATTTTCCCCGAGCAAATAAGCGATCGATAAATCGAGGTACGACGGCAGTTGCGTTGTCTTATCGATAAACCGGCACGTACTTTGTCCGTTCGATCGGAGTGGCAATCTTTTTCCTGGCGCGGCAGACTGAAGGAACGAGTGCTCGTTTCGCTTCGAGGAAGCTTCGAAGAAAGAACTTGGACGTGGGTAATTTACATCGCGAGGCGACGGTGCCGCTAAGAAATTTATCCCGGGGCGACGGAGAATTCTTTCCGCGGCCTCCATCGGCTACACCGTTTCAATTTAAAGTTTCCCCGCTGAACAACGCCGGGGTACGAATTTCCCTGGTCTCGTCGACTCGAAGATCGATTCCATTAGTTACTATCTGTATCAAATCTTTGTCTACCTTTCGCGAAGAATTAACCTCCTTTCGCAAACAATTTCACTGCTTCTTGTTCTGATATATATTTTTAAAAGATTTCGTTCGCCTTTGTATCGTGGATGTAAAAATCATATAATCGATTCTATTAAATGTCCCTTGTTCTAGTCGATGGAAGATTAACGCGTCAATTTCGTGTCAATATCTCGAGAAACCAATTGCACGAATTATTGGGGGAAGCTCCATTAGGTATTATTATATAGGTTGGAAGTGATTTATGCATATCGGAGCGTCGTCCCATTTCAAGATGGACCGTCGACGGGTCTTGATCGCTTTTCAACGGACAGATAAGTCCTATTAATATCCATTGTCTGGTCTGCTCATTTCCCTGATTCAAATCAAGTTTTATTTGTTATTTGAAAACATTGCCATCAAGAAGGTAACGGGAACATTCAAAATATATTCGGGCCGAAGGAGGCCATTTTAAGCAGTTTCTACGAACATTAGCAAAATAAATACAACTCTAACTATGTTTGAAGCTTCAAATATGAGAATTTAAGACTTCTTACGAACCCCTCGTTTCGTCGAATTCCTACAATTTTGAAATTCCTGTTCCTTCATTACGCATCAAAGAAGATAAACGAAGATTATTACGTGAAAATTCCGATCAGAATTTTCGGAAATACGCAGAAAATTGAACCTTGACATTCGTCGCCGATGGATGCCCCCCGTTCGAATCGAGTATTGCGCCATTACGCGCACTATAGACCGACTCTGTGCCCCCGTGGAAACGTAACGTTGTTAACGAACGACTCGTGCCCGATACCGTCTGTAACGGGTGTCCGAGGAATACACGAGGAGAAGGTGTATCGACCTCAAGAACGCGATTACGTACGCCCGACAACGAGTAGTTCCGTCCCTGGTACTTTCTGGGTCTCGCCCTGTCCTCCACCCTCTCACGAAGGACGGAGGAAGTATTGATTAAATTCAACGTCGGCCATTTTGTCCCACCGTCCGATTGGCTGCCGTCCATTTTGTCCTTCCTGCCCCTTTCTACCCTCGTCTAGCCACTGTTTCTTCCTATTCCACCGTTCCTCGGTCTCTCGATGTCCCTCTACGATCTCTCTCTCTTCGTCTACCGTGTCCTCAACCCCTTCGCGGATACCGTGGACGCGTGCGTCGCGACATTTTCCGCGAAAGGGGCCAGCAATCGGATCTTTTTTCGCCTCCGTGCGTTCCTTCGTTCGCCGGTTCTGTTTTTCAGAGGAGAACCCGTTGGCTTGACGTCTGACGTATGTACGTATCCACCAGTGCATCCTGTTGATTCCAGGTTCCGGGACGGGGTTAGGGGGCGCATAAAACTTTCCTCGGACTCGATAGGAAACGTAAGAACCCGGGGGAGTTAATTCGAATTCCTCGCGGTATCGGATCTCCATCGAATGCCCAGGAATCTGAAGCTCGTAGAGGGTGGTTCCAACTACCTAGTACTGGTAGAGTTTTCTCAGAGTACCATCCGATTGTCGAAACGTCCACAACGAGATTTCTTCGCGTTGTCCGTGTCCAGCGACCCGCGAACCGGTTGTCGTCGATGTGTCCCGAGATAATTCTGAAACCGACGTTCCAAGAGGACCGTGGACGGTTCCGGTGGATGGTATCTCGGCCGACGTCCAAGCGTGCCGGAGATTTCGCGGCTAAGTAGCTCCCCGGGAGAGCCGTGGCGTCGGTTCCGAGTCAGGGTAGATTCGTAAACACATAAAGGAGGCGGCGTAGGCGTACGAGGCGAAAACCGCAGACGGAGGCGCCGCGGCGTGCCTCGGGGCAAGAGGACAGATAGATAAGGGAGAGCGACGAACGATACATCATCCACCCCCTGACGTCAGGAGACGAGGTGGTCCGAGGATTGGTCCAACGATCGGCACGCCCACGTGGCCACCCTCGTGCACGACGCATCGACAGCCCTGTACCCGCGACGGGTTGCTCGCCCCGCCCACGGGAAAACAACCCCGCCACCTGGACACGAGGGGGTGGTTGCGTGGGTTGTGCGGGAAGAAACTGGGTCAGGCAGACGCGAGGCAGGCCGAGTCAGGCCGAGGCTCGTGAGTCGTCCAGGCGTTTTCGGCTGGAAGCAGTCCGTTGGAAACCACCCCGAAGCCCGTCGTTGCTTCACCAGTCTGTCGACGATCCACCCTTAAGTCCTACCGCCAGGACAGCTCCATCCCCCGTTCGTGAAACCCGAGGCCGCTTCCCTCGATCGCCCGGTGGACCCTCCAAGCAGGACACTCGAGAGGAGAACGGATTTTGGTGAGTGCGTCCACGTTGCGGTACCTCTTTCATTGCATCCTCTTTTTACCAAATGTACCCTGCCGCGTAACCTACGGGGGTTCATCGCGGTGTACGAATCCTCCAATACGGTTTTACAAGACATTCTTGGGGAATCGAGGCGGTGGATAATTAGGGGATCACGTTTCAAAAAAATTGTGGTGACGAGTGAACTGGCAGTAGGTCGAGTACGTGGTCCTCTAATTATGGTCGTTTCTCGCTTTCACGCATTATTCATTTTCGCTACATTTTTCCTTACCACCCGGGAAGTCTGCTTGAAATCCTCTTTTACTTTTGCTATAGTTCGCGGACGAAAGCTCCCCTTTGCTCCTAAAACATGGTAGTACTCTGATATTTTCGATCGACGCGTGCTACTTTTCTCCTATCGCTACGATCTAAGCATTTTCGCGATACAGGGTGCAAATAAAGTTTGGGTACACGAATAATGTAAATGTACATGCCTTGAACCAACGATTTCTGAGACTAGGTTTCGAAATGGTATTTTCAATGAACGGTTCTGAATTGGTTACGTAAAAATTACTTCTGTTTTGACATTGACACGATGTTTCGAATGCAGTATAACTTGTTACAGAGGGTTGTTCAAACTCGAATAACTCCAAGACCAGAATCGATACCTACAGTTTGTTCGCACCCTGTAACGCCGTTCTCACTATACTGCAAGCATTTTCTATCTAGCTGTACTCGAATTTTACTGCACTTTCACGCATTTCCTCAACTTAGTACGCGTCCTTTCGATCGAGCGACATCTTCTCGCTTAGATTTTACGCTCCGTGGACCGGTCGATCGGTTCAGAGAGCATCGACGATTCGTCTTATAACGAGTTTCGCCTTTTCTTTCAGTAACGAGGAAATGCTTGTTAAGCCTATCTCTCCAAGACCTCCGCACAAAATGCTCTCTGTCCATGTTTCTTTGGTCGCTCGGCCTGCCGTGCTCCTTCGGCGTGTTATTCTCGCTTCGCAGTTTGTTGCAATTTTATCTGAAAGCTAGAAAAAAGCAGCGCGAAACACTGAAGCGGACACTGTTGTTGATTGTTGTAGGGACTGAGGCGAGGGACATAAGCAGAGACATGGACAATGTGCAAATGATCGGCACTAAAATCACAGCGATCAAGGAATACTTATATGTAAGGCGTTCCCATCACGCTGCACGTTCATTCATCTTTGGCCCTTTCGTTTTATTTTGTAAATCCTTTTGTCGACTGTCGGCGTAGAGTTACTTTCTGTACACTCCCTTTGATTTTTGTTTCGTCGTTGAAAAACCTTCCGTTCGAGCCTTGTTAAATAATTTCCCGCGTCGACGGGTTTCTCCTTCTGAAATTTGATCGAACGAAGTCGACGACGCTCCCGGTGTTTAACTGTAACGTTAGATTTGTGTATTGCGAGTATTGCTCCCGAATGCCAGTAAAGTATGCGATTAATGTTAATTACAGGTACACGGTTTCGCGAAAGACAGATCTCTGTTGTGAATTTCAGAACTTCGCCCGGACGCATTCGCCCACCAGACTAATGAGTTCCGAAAACAACTACGCGCTCTCCAGGGAGCACTGTAACCTGAAATATTCGGGTAAGTTCGACAAGATTGATCTAGGTGTTATCTGGATGTGCATAGCATGCGGTATACTCGAGCTTCGAATAAAAGAGCACGGATCGAGTTGCGAGAGTTGGTCCAACAATGGCGTCGAAAGGACCAACGTAGATTTTTCACGAATTTCTCAGCCATTTAATAGGATATAGAGAAATTTAGACTCGATATAGACAAACTTTCGTTTCAAATTTTCCCGATCTTTTGTTTAGATGCTGTAATTAATGCAAGAAGCTGAAAACTATGGATATGCAGGATGTTTTTTGAAAGATGTTTCCAAACTTCACAGGCTTCTAGCACTCGACTGAAAAGGGCTTGATCGAAATAGGTTGTGTTTCTACTATCGCAATAATGTCTATTTGTTGCTTATGGTAGGGAAACAAAGGATTATTGGGGATTATATGGAATTACTCGATCACTTTGTTTTCGTCGTAAACTTGGTTCAGGCAATGCCTCGCGAAGTTCCATCATACTGATTCATATTTGTAAGCACGAAAGGGTTAAAACTGCAAATGTTCTACCTTCTCGGAGGCAACGGTGGAGTATGTTGAAAAATTTATCGAATAACGTTGTGGGGCTTGGATCATTTTTTTTATACAAATTACATATACTTGGACCTATTCTACAATCACCTATTTTGGACCTTTCTTATACAACTCGTATTCATACTAAAACACAATTTCCAACAGTACGATGCACGGAATAGACTCACTTAGCGAATCCGATATTCTCTGTTATCGTATGTTTGTCGACACCGATCAGCAAATTAAATAAATATTTACACATTGGAGCAATACGATAAGAAATTCCTGTTTCCTCGTCGTAATCGTGGATTAATATCTTGCACCAATGAAATGGAAGAGGGCTCAGAGGCTAGGTTTCGAATTGCTTTTTAATAATATTCTGTGTAAATTGTCTTTATCGATCTGTAGAAATAGAATGTTAATTTGCTAACTTGACTATTAGATATGCTTGGTTTGAATAAAATAATGAATACAACTCAAATAACAAACGTAATAAAAATTTACATTTAATCCTGTCTGCTTTCTGAATTTAATGAAATGAAACATAATACACAAATTATCATTTATAGTAACTTGGAAAGCTTGAATGTATTGAGATTAAAACAGAGGGAGTCGATATTAAGTAATTTATCGAATTGTGAACAGTATATTTTTGACTATTAATTGTCTGCTCATGCAGTAAAAGCTTACAACGAAGTATTAGAGTACTTGTCACACGATCAAATGGAATTACTGACCGACAAACGTTCGTCTGACCAAGCACGCTCCATTTCTACTCGCTGGTCCCGTTCCCCTGATTTTTCAGCGACACGCGCAAATTAGCGCTCGCATCGGAGCGTTCCAGGGTGCCCCTCCGGGACCGAAATCAGCCTTGGCTTCTCGAGAATGAAATCCGGGAGTCACAATATTGTCCTGATTTCGCGAAGCTCGCGGCCCGGAAGGGTGCATAATAATAGAGGATTTAGAATTGGCCCGAAGAGGCTCGTAGCCGACGAGTGGCTGAGGACAGATTACACGCCGCAAAAAGGGAGAAAGGGTTTGCTTGTCACGGCTCTGTTTGCAGTTCGGCGTGTGTCGGATACCGATAACGCCCACTTCGAAACTAAGAATCGAATTTAAAATATTGCAAAGCAAAGCAACATCGTCGATTTTCATTCCCAATACGAAACGTAACTTTGCTTTTTCTGGATACTTCTAGCTAACATTTTTGGCGAACAGATTTTGAGAACCATGGGTAAAGTTTGTATGGAAGTACAGAATGATTTATTCTGATAATCAGCTCTCTAAATAAGACATATCTTTACAATTTCTAAGACGATCTTGCGAATCTTTAGTCTTCGTGGTGTGTTCTCGTGTAAACATTCTTAATAATTTTCTATAATTTAGAAACTAAGGCATGCACGATCTACGATCACCTACCATCGACTGCTCGTAGATCGACATTTTTAAGTACAAATTTTCTACGCTTATGTTTCTCGTATGAGTTGCGTAGAGTGCTGATTGAAGGCGCTGAGGTTTCTTTGAGAATCCAGGCGACCTCGCGAGCGTTTCTTTCGACTCATTACTATAAATTAACCTCGTAATCCCGCTTATAAATCGCTGGAACTAATTGCCGCGTGTAACAGCCCCTGGAAGGCGCTTTGATTAAAGCCACGAGCGGAGGGTGCTGTGCATCTGGTGCCAAAGCAACGCGGCAATCTCGCGTAGTTCGTGCTCGAAACTGTAACTCTGTTGCATGGAATTGCACGCGATCGTCCTCGATACGATCCAACGCTCGTTAGAGTTGAGGTCGATCGGTGGGATTCCAAGTATTTAGTTTTAGACGGACTGCTTCCTCGCCACGAGTGCCATAAACCTCGAAAGAAAGAGAGTATCTGTCCGGGTTTCGGACGTTAGATTGATAGAGCTGGATTAGTCGAAGCAGAGCCCCTGGAAGCTGGGGATTTCCCTTGTCTAACCATAGGCTCAGGCCGATTCACCATAAGGTTCTGGACCTCCCTTTTCCATCCTCTTATTCATTGCTCGTGTGATTATTGAAAGATACAGTCATCCTTTCGAGAGTACATTCCTTCCTGATAATATCGTACGTTCTGTTTATTTTGTCATTTTTTTAGCCACGAACTGGATACTTTTGCCAAAAGTTTATCGAAAGAGTCGTTCTCGTTCGTTTCTGTTGCTCGAGAAAGAAAATAACGACTTTAAACCGTCGATGCCTATATCTGTTTATCCACGGGATTTCCTTAATGCAATGGGAAATGAAGGGTGGTATATTCGGCGGGACACTTTATGGTTACCCTGCAACGGAAAGACAGTTCAATCTACCTAGGATTTAGCGAGGGCGTATTGAAATGCCCCACTGCAGGCAGTTTGTGTTTTCTCGATAGGAGCGCGGTAAATAAATGTCACTAAAAGTGTATCCGAGCATACAGTCTGTTAAGATGAATAAAACTGAATAATAAATAGTTTGAAATTAATTTAGATAAAATGAATAAAATGAATAAAATGAATAAAATGAATTAAATAGATAAAATGAATAGCACCAACAGATTGTTCTCTCTTAAAATTGTGCCATTTTTCTCTAGTGCCTTATATTTTGCTTAACAAGAATGGTGCATGTTAAAAATAAATACACGGAACAATATTTCCATGATTTTCCGTTTTGTGGTTATGCATGATCGTAATAGTTCAATTTTGCAACCGCATGCGAGTTTCCAATCACTGTAAAGCGAAGGGATCGTCTGTACCGCAATAAGGAAATGAAGAGGAACCGAAAAGAAGAGGACGTTGAAGTGAGATGGTGTCATCCCACCAAACAAGTGAGAGTGTGTCGATATAGGTCTATACTTTCAATTGTTTGATGAGGTGAAATCATTCTAATAATTTACGTTTTCTGCGAGGACGTCGGAGACCCGACGGTAGGTCGATACGACGGAGCGCCGGGCAAAGAGACGCTCGATAAAATGGTATAAAATCGATCAATGTCACTATCGTAGAAGAGATTTCACTTGATTACAACAATTAGAGAGTCATCGTAGACTGTTACGTTAGCCAATTGTACAATTATTATAGACAAACTCGATCCGATAAATATCATTGCATTTGATGGGAATTCGTTTCCATCGATTTATTATAGTTACCGTTGCAATTGCGCCTTAAAAATAAAGTAAATACACACGCGTCGTTCCAGTTGTTGCTACTTTAATGTCTGTGAAATTATGAGAGTTTAAAGTTAAATATTATATAATATATTAAATTAATTAAAATATTATATTAAAATAATCCTCAAGCTGAAATGCAGAGAAAAATACATTTAGATAGAATTGTTCGAGTTCGATTTAGTAAACAGAATCAATTAATAGAGGACTTCAGAAAATCTAGAGGAATCAGAAAATCGAAAACGTTTAAAATTGTTCTTGTATTCACGAAAGGAGCCCACATTTAAATTTTTATAATAAAATATGAATTCACGGGGAACAGATCGTTTAAATGTGAATTTCGAAGGTTTCTCCGTGTCTCTTATGGTCTCTTCTGTAGAGTGAAACTATCGTCGAAGAAATTTTCCTCTAAATCGTATACTTTGGACGATGTTAGCGAGGGAATAGAAGAAACTATTAAATTTCTTATTTATAACGCATTTCGAGTGTCTGTGTTCTTGCTCCCAGACATCCTGCCGCACAATGCAGAAGGTTTTCCGGCGACCAGGGAGTTTCTGATGAAGGTGGTGGATATCCTCCTGGATTTCATCAAGTCCACGAACGATCGTAACGCGAAGGTCCTCGACTTCCATCATCCCTCCGAGATGATGCGTCTGTTGGATCTTGAGATTCCTGACAGCGGTCTGACGCTCCAGCAACTCCTCATCGATTGCTCCACCACTTTGAAGTACCAAGTCAAGACTGGTGAGTTTAAAGGAGCATCTTCCATACGATTTCCTACGGGTTAAAATACGCAATTGCTTTGGCCACCCTAAATTGCAATAAGAAATACAACAAAAAGATATTATATTTATTTGACGGGTAAATATCCTTTACGAAGAAGCGAGAAAATAAAAAAGGAGCACAATTATATAGAAACTTACACAGGATACATTGTTCTACATCATAAGTACGCAAAAAGGTAAATAGAGTGCTCGTAACTAAATATTCGAAGTCTTAAAACTATCTGAGGATTTTAAAAATTATATTTTATGAACGATTTTGAGGAGCATTAATAAATTTGAAATTTCTAAACAAAAAAGTGAAATCCACTTAATCGTGGTTCTTAGAACGGGAGCGCGACTGACGTAAAAAAGCAAACGTGAATTGAAAATTATTCGTAGCAGGGAATCGCTTAGTGCTGTCCTATCTCGTTTTAACGCGTCCGTCAGGACGATAAGCCACATAATTTCATATTCAATTTAACATACGCGCTCTCGAGGGCGGAGATAAGGTGACTAGAGACACTTCCAACATTTCCGCCGGCTTCAACCCCCAAAATATACACGTTGCCCTCGTGCACGTGATAAACGATCGAGGGGCTGGTGGCAACTGAAAAAAGGCGAGACATTCGCGTACATCCTCTGCTTATTTTGCAAGTAATATAAGCCCACTTTCCTTCGTTTCAAGATAATCAAACGTTCGCGTTTCTGTTAGCTATAAAACAGCTTTGAAATAAAATCTTCGATATAAAAATAATCAAAGTCATTTTTGTATACGTGCAATACGGTAGCCCAGGTTTCAAATTAACTTCGATCCAAAGAAAAATCGTATTTCAACGTAAATCTCTGGTTCCAGTTTGTTTTCCAAGTTGCCCGAGTCCGAAATTCTGCCGCAAGGCAAATTCTGCGGACGGTAAATTTAATTTAATGCAATCGATATCGAACGTCGAGACACCGTGGGCCTCGGTTCTCCGCGGAATGCTGAAAGTCAACCGCAAATCCCCCGCGAAAGTTCGCTATCTCGGTAGGATTCGATTACCGGCTTGAATAGATGCTAATGCACAATGGAGGAGGGCTAACCGAACTTAGGCTAGAAATCAGGCTTGTCTGGGCGGCGGGCGTCGATGCAGACGAACCCTGACCCCTGGAAGGACGCGTGGCGCGATATACGCGCTGACAAAAACTCGTTATTAGATTATGCACCACGAGGCTAGCGAGGACCCTACGAGTATCGTCGATCTGACCATCCTCGACATCGTGAAAGGAACCTACCCCACGTGGGGGGTGGCGAACGATTGCAGATACACTGGAAAATATTTCGGGGAACTGGATGATAAGAACGTCGACGATGCCCACGTAAAATATAGCACGATAAAAAAAAAAACGAGAAGATATCAAAGGCTGTTATCGGGGACGGATGCTCCGTTCGAGGAATCCATTTTGAGGAAGAGGGGACTTTTTAGGATTCTCGTGTACTATGTTTCTTTTTTAATTGGTCGTTTCAAACAATGTCATAAATGTTATTAACATACGTATTTTCCATTGTTTAAAATAGTGTCTCGCGTTATCAACTGACACGATTAATATAAACGATAATATAAGAATTGGATCAGAATTGACCCACCATCGGGGGCAAATCGACCACCACCGACGTATTCATATTTTGCAATGGAACGAAGTCGACGTCGCTGAAGAAACCAACGTGCAAAGATCTTGATTGATTACAGGTGTAGTCTAGGTATCGACGTTCGAGTACATATTACGAAGTCTGAGAAAAAGGATAAGAATCGCTGCCCCAGATTATTCGACCTGGAAATATTTGGTTAAACGAAAAGAAAATATTCCGAGGCCCGTGGAAAAATTCAGGCCATCGCATTGGAACTTGGCTCGTGTTCGGGTATTGAAAAATAATTATTTCTGGATCGACGGGCCATGAACGATACGAGAGCAAATTTTTATAATCAAAACGCGACATCGCGCTGATGAACTACTTTTCACAGATTGCGTACGTAACAGGTTACTTGAAAATTTGAGAATAATTATGCATATACAGATGAGCTAAAAGAAAGTTCCCTCGGATAAGTACATAAAAAATATGGAATATTGTTTTGTACAAAATTTGTATTTAATTAGATATTGAATACTATAAAAAAAAACGAACAATGATACCGTTAGCTTCTGCGAACATTCTTTTGAAACAATATCTACGAATACTCTAAACTTGAAAAAGTATTCAAATTATTGTCTTTAAAACTGTTTTATAATGTGTTGCAAGAACGATTTTTCATACCAGTAAAATAATATCTTCCTGTGCTGCGAATAGAACACTGGGCACCTAATGAACGATGTGCAACCTATCGTTGAACTCTCGTCGTTGTTTCGCGATCGATGAGTCGCGTTTCACGAACTCAGCTGTACCGGAATTGAAATTGAACCGAAAGGTTTTTCGTCGACGAGGGGATCGGTAGGGGTTTTTTTTAGAAATCAGCAGGAATCCCAGAACCGGTCGGAAAAAAAGTACAATGCGGACGGTGCCCGTCAAAAAACACGGTTGTAGCGCCAGCGCACGTGGCACCACTGCGCGCAGGGTGGTGAATTCAATAGGATCGGTGTAATTAAGAGCCATTTCTACACGATTTTCTCCCCGGTGGGGTCGAAGGGAAATAGTAAATAGGGGCGAACGATGGGGGTGGTCGGGTCGGTGCGCTCATAGGGCGAAACCCTTCGTGAACTTTCGGCACGAAAACCATCGAGTACACCCACCCGATGGAATTTAAATTGGTATCGATAACCATTCGTGGAATGCAGAAATCGTTTCGTCGAGGAATGTGGAAGTTGTTACGTCACGCGACCGGTATTCGAGCAGCGGCACCGCGAATAAAATAAATCCAATTTGATCGCGTACGCGTGTTACGGAATATTTAATCATTTCGAAAATCGAAACGTTCGACGGGCGTTCCATCGTCGAAAATTACGGTACCTGTAGATAGCACCGTAGAATTATAATAGAAATATAATAATTTTGGAAATTATTACAATTTTCGAAATAAATATAAATATTATAATACTATAATCTTTCAAGCACTCTAAATTATTTTTATTTGCATCCGACTGTGCTTGCAGGTATTTAATAAATTTCTGTAAAAAATCTTCGATCAATAAATGAAGAGATATTGTAAAAAATTCCACCGACTGGGTAAAACGAACGATCGAAGATCACGTTGTTGAATAACGGTTAAATCCAAGTTTAAGACTACGGATCTTACGCACGGAATGTTTTCCTTACTCGAGAGAAATATGATTGATTGCGCGGCATTAGCGTTAAGCTGGGGTTACACACTTCTCTTCATACAAATCCTGAGCCCCGTAATATATTACCGTGGTCTGCGCCGAGCAGGTTCTCCGGCGGTGTAACTTGTTCCCTTTTCTCTTTGCTGCCCGGGGAAAAAGGGCAAATTAGTCGGAAAACGATACCCTTCGACGTCGTAATCGCCCGTAAGGGCAACCCAGCGAAAGAAACGAATCGTGGAATCTATTGTGTAGGACGTACAAATACCACCGTGAACAATTCCTTTCGTACACGAGCCATCGGAGGCATGAGAAATTGATTAGGAAACAATCCGCGTGCCCGATATTTCAAGACCAGGAGAAACACATTCGATCTTCGACACGGAAACTTGTTACTTTACAACTTCTACAATCATCCATTCGCTTTAATAAATCACTATCGACTGCAAAAGGAAGATTATTTACTTATAGATCTGTCAAATTCGATATTAAGATAAGCAGTAGCCTTTCGTTTAGCTTCAGAAGGGATAAAAGTTCTTTGATTTCAAGATAAGAATAGGATCGAGCAAAGTTCAGGAAACGAGAACAATCGTAACAGGGAAGATTGTCTATAAGAGATTCGCGATCCATTAGTTTAAACAGCCAAGACTCTATTTTGCCATTACTTCGCGGCGATGGAAAAGAGTCTAAGGGGATATAGCGCGAAAATCCCTGGCAGCCTCGTTCGGCATTAACATACCCTTAAATCTGCATAATTCGCCAACCAGGCCAGCTTATCTCGATCCGCGTGCTGCACTCGTGTTTGTTTTTCTTATCCCCCTGCAAAACACGCAACCATCCTCTTGCCGCGCCTTGCATTCCTTTCTGAAACATTCCAAACGTTGCCTTACGCGGAAGAATAAAATTGTAGAAGACAGAAAACAGTTTCGATAATTAAACAAAGATGTTCCAAGGGTTTCAAGGTACCACTAAAATTTTTGCAATGGAACTGTATATTTTTCTATTCTTGGCAACAGAGTTGAAAACTTGTATTTGCCAACCTGCATCCATTTTCTACGCGAAGACGATTCAACTTTGCACGTTTCCCTTAAACGATGCGGTGAACTTTAGGTGGTCTTCTTCGCGTCACTCTGATTTGCATAACGCGGATCGACTTATCTCGCGCCGGTTGGCCGGAATAGTTTGTTTTCCTTGCGTCCTTGGACGGTTTGAGAGCCTCTGCAAACAATCTAGTCGCTCAGCGACGCGTGTGACGCGCAAAATGCGGGCGCTTTGGACCATCGACCCTGCTCCACCCTTGGCTGAACCACGACCCCGATACTCTTGGAAAAATGGAAAGACGAAGAGAGAAGGAGACCGGGGAGCGAGAGAGGGCAAACTTCTTCTTGCACACCCCAAACCGGACGCGTGCCACGATCCACGGACCAAGATAATTGCGAATAACACTGCGACAAACGGCTCGGATACCGCTGCCCGATATCGCGTTTAGGGTGGACTTTTGCGTCGAAGCGTGCGCTCGAGGATCGAGTCGGATCCGACAGGCTCTGAAATGCGAAAGAGATCAAGTTAATTATTATTTTATATTTTACCAACGTTCTATTACCGAACGTACCGACAGTTCTCTATTTAGAGGCAAAAATGATCTCAGGTTGCCTCGACTTGGTTCCGAGCAGCAGGTCCGGAAAATCCTCAGGCTGTGGAGCTACAGATGGACCAAAGGGGAGCACGTTCAGCCCTCGAAAGACTGGCGTCATACGTCAATCACTACGTAATACCGGGAGATTAAAATGTCTAGGCACCGCACCGGAAATTCTCGTTCGCGTCACTTGTCTTGGTATCGAGAAAAGCAGGATTATTAAGAGAACAACGTTTCGTTGAGAAGGTGGCGTGGCTGTTGCGAATGCTCCGCGGTTATCGAAGGTTGCAAGGTTATCGAGCACCCCGGGGGGAAAAAGTCTTTTCGTGGCCGGATATTCGATGGAGCGAATCCATCAATTCTCGGGATCAAGGGATCTACGTTATTTTAGAAAATGATAGGACAGAACTTCGAAGGGCGCGATGGTTGGAACTACGTAGAAATCCTGTATCGTGAAGTCGTATATTTTACCGTGAAAATTATTAAGAGACGCGACAGGGCATATATAATTTGCACGATGATCGAGAAGCGTTATGTTTATGGGATAATGTGGAACTTCATTTAACATTAAGAGAAAGAGAAAATTCCGCCATAGAACACAGTTTTGTTAAAGGGATTTAGATACTTGAAGATTACAAAGGTCGAAGATTCGATCGTAAGATCGTCGTATGAAAATCGCGCATTTTATCGTGAAATTTCTTCGAGAGAAAACGCTCACGGATCGAGTAGGCGTAATAGAAATCCAGCTCGACACGAGGACGCACTCCGCGTATGAGAAACAAGCGGAATCCGCGCACTTGTTCCCCCAGTTGCATCAGAAGGCAGGCTCCCATCGAACAGAAGCATTAACCCTGATCCTAGCGCGATGTTCACCAGAGCGGATGACAACGTACTCAGCGAGAAGCTTAAAGCTCTCTTCCCGCTTTCGACCCGCGTGCCTTTAACGTCCGTCTTCGGTGTCGGGACCGCGTCCATAATTTTTGGGCACGTGCCACGTCAGCGTTATTAATTACTCCACTTTTAGAAACCGTCTTCGAACAATCGACGCGGTCGCGACGAAATTTGCGTGCCGTTTTTGATTTATAGACGCGACAACTAATTTCGGTGCCCCGTCTGACGATGAATTTACGATTGGCTGGCAAAGAACGCGTTTGAATTTTCAAATTTAAAGTTAGACCATGAATTTTATTCGTAGCTTTAAGTATCTTCGCAAACTGGTATTTTTTTTTTTTAAATATACCTCAAAATAAAACGACTTTTCATCTGGAAATGAATAGACTTACAAACGCTTGGATTATAGAAATAGAGTGGAAATAATCTATATCCTCTTCGTTGCTTTATAAGAATAAAAATGTGGTTATTACATACATAATTTGTATATACAGGGCCATCTAATTTTGAATTGATTTTCTACACAGCCATCGAAGTCAAGATCCATTTTTTAAATAGTTTGCTTTGGTCTATTGCTTCCAGGTCATCCTCATTTTTTCAATCAATTGTCCTGCGGTCTTGATCTCGTATCGATGGCCGGCGAATGGCTGACGGCCACAGCGAACACCAACATGTTCACCTACGAGATCGCGCCTGTGTTCATTCTGATGGAGCACGTGGTGCTGCAAAAGATGAGGGAGCTGATCGGCTGGAGCGGTGGCGATTCTATTCTTGCACCGGGAGGTTCCATCAGTAACCTGTACGCTTTTCTCGCGGCGAGACACAAGATGTTCCCCGCTTACAAGGAACGAGGGCTCTCGGCCATCGGCGGACAGCTGGTGATGTTTACGTCTGACCAAGTACGTTCTCTTCCACTTAGAATCGTTCACGCGCGAAACGACTCTTTCACGACGACTCGATCAACGAATCACACAGTTTGCCTATTATTTGGCATTTATTTTAATAGATGCACACCAGATTTGCACATTTTGTTTTCGTTTCTTTGTTGAAACTTGTCCCAACATGGTGACTCTTTGAAGGGACCAAGCGAGAAGAAATCTGACTCTGTTACTGTATTTCTGTTATAACAAACGACTGGAGGTGAAATAATCTGTTTTATAGTTAGAATTTAACCTCGAGTCGCGTGTTTCTTGGAAACAGTTATTACGAAAGACGAGTGCAATAATGGGAAACTGGGGATGTTTAACCGGTCGGTTACGTTGCCCAACAGTGTCACTATTCCGTGAAATCGTGCGCCGCAGTCTGCGGACTGGGAACAGACAACTGCGTGATGGTTCCCAGCGACGATCGAGGCCGTCTGATTCCGTCGAAGCTGGAGGAACTGATCCTGGAGCGCAAAGCCAAAGGGCACATTCCATTCTTCGTGAACGCCACCGCTGGGACCACTGTCATCGGCGCGTTCGATCCCATTTCAGAGATCGCCGACATTTGCGAGAGACACAAGCTCTGGCTGCACATTGACGTAAGTGTACATCGAAGAAACCGAAAGAAACGTTGTATCGAACGTGCTTCGAAGTTAGGAAGGGACAACAGAGATTTCCACTTAGCCAGACAGCTTATTCAAATCAGTTCGTCGTGCGAACGATAAATGCCAAACGCGTAAGAGCCTTAGCGTTAATAATAGATGTGAGAACCGCCATGTATTCGGCCAGGGGAACTACATCGTCAGGGTAAATTGTGGGAAAATTCGGAAGATCCGGGATTTGCGAGTCAACGCTTAGAAAGTCTTTAACACGGTTCTATTTTTTATCCCATTGCTTTCCTAGCACGTCAAATTTCAGCTACGAAGAGGGTGAATTTCAGTTTTAATCGTGGTTAGAGTTTACACGAGAAATGTGTTTTACGTAATTCGTTCCAAAAGTAGACAAACGAACAATGAGAACGTAAAGAAAGGCAAGATTTCGTAATTAGCATAGACAGAGCTTTTCAAAAATATATTTATACCTTAATTTGTTGGATGATTTGATATCTCTAGAAAATGTCCTCTACATATGATCAAGTTTTAGCTCATAATAATATCAACATTATTTAGAAGTTTATAAGTATCGAAGAAGTAACGCAAAGGGTTAACTTTACGCGTTGATCTGGTTTTAGGCGGCTTGGGGTGGTGGACTGCTACTCTCGAAGAAATACAGACACCCCAGATTGACGGGCGTCGAACGGTGAGTGCGACCCACTGATTATTTTGTTTAAAGAATCTGACGCAAGCGCGAAATAATTCGGTCGTCGATGCGTTTCCTTTCGATCGATCAGACCTCCACATGTGTTCTCTGCAGGGGTGCCTTAATCCTCGCGCTTTATAGTTTATTGAGGCTTAGTTTGATGGAGTCGCTCAGAAAAAGGCACACGCAAACACACCTAGAACCCTCAACGCGATGCTTATAAAAGGCAAAATTGATATTTCGAAGTGGTTGATACCGAAACGAGTTTGCATGAGAATAGCTCGATGTCTTCGATCCGCGCGTACCTTTTGTGGAAAGTGTCACCGAAGGAAAAACGACTTCTTGGAAAAATTCGTGATAGCTGATTCGGGGGACAGAGATTCGAAGAGTAAATTAAAAATTCTTTTGGATAGTCTTGGAGAAGCGTTCGTTCGGTTAATAATAATTTGTCGACGCTGCGTTTGGAATTAAATGCGACGCTTGATATTAAATCTTCATTGTGACTAATGAAACCGGAATCGACGCGGAAAGACGGTACCTGCAGGCTGTTCGCGGACAGTGTCGTAATCCGTCGGATCGAGGGTCTCCAGAACGAAAGGAGTGACTCCTGTCCCCCGGCACATGCGAACTTTCGCATACACATCCGCGGAGACAGCGATGTCCGACCCTTCGAGCTTGCAATGGGGGTCAGGGGTAGCCCCGATCGGCGCCGGAGCTCGGATAGGGGTTGGCGAGATTAATCCACGATTTGCATCCGGGCGCATCTGCTCCATCCATTCAGCGGCAGACAGTCCCTGACCCGAAAAAGACTGGCACGAGGCCTTCCGTGGAAACAATTTCACTGGCAAAAAGTCATCTCTGCTCGATATCTGCTACGATCTTATGCCTCGAGGAGTCTGTCGTGTCGCTACCAGAAACGATACACAGTCACTCCCACTCATACTCCTACGCTACAATTAGAAACGATAAGAGTTTCTTACAAATCACTGTTTTTTAAACTGATCAACCGTAATATTGGGTTGTTTTTTTCTTCGCGAAGAGAAACAATTTTCTTATAATATATAAATATTTTATTGAATTATGTATTGGCCATTTTGGTCCCAGCATCTTTTGCCTTCTTCCTGGTAAAAATTGATCCTATTGATTTTTGACATTGTCGTTTGAAGTAAATGTTTTACCGTTAAAAAAATTCTGTAAAGACGAGAACAAGTAATAATAATAGTAAGAGTGTGGTAACACATCCCACTCAAACTGCAATAGCTTCTGACGAGTTACTAAACTTGTACGAGGTCTGGCATTATCATGTCGAGCTTTGAAACGAAGTAATTACCTTTTCGATAATGAAAACGCAAAATATGTCGAGAATGCAGCTTCTGATTTTCCATATTTTACGTGACATCAAAGGAACACAATTTTGTACAAATAAGCCTCGAAGTGTCAGCAGTGAAAGTATATAACGAGAATACGGTTTAGAATAAAGTTGACTAATTAAAAATTCAATTAACCATTGGTAAGGAAACGAAACTACTTTCCGTATAACCCAATAGTGTGAAGTAGTTAACATCGTCAGCTTCTGATTTTCCATATTTTAAGGGTCATCAAAGAAACATAATTGCACAGAATGAAACAAAATTTTTTACAAATAAGCCTCGAAGTATCAGCTGTGAAAGTATATAATGAGAACACGGTTTAGAATAAAATTGACTGATTAAAAATACAAGTTACTGTTGGTGAGAAAACGAAACTACTTTCCGTATAACACAATAGTGTGAAGTAGTTAACATCGTCAGCTTCTAATTTTCCATATTTTACGGGTCATCAAAGAAATACAATTGCACAGAATGAAACAAAATTTTGTACAAATAAGCCTCGAAGTGTCAGCAGTGAAAGTATATAATGAGAACACGGTTTAGAATAAAGTTGACTAATTAAAAATGCAATTAACCATTGGTAAGGAAACGAAACTACTTTCCGTATAACACAATAGTGTGAAGTAGTTAACATCGTCGTTCGATGAGACGTTTCCCGTCGTTTTCTGGAGGGACTGTACCCGCGCGTAGGACTTCCTTCCTGAAGGTCTTGATTAAAATGGCAAACGAAAAGTCCGAAGGACGAGCAACAGCTGGATCAGTTCCCTGGAGCGCATTTGCAGAACAGAACTCTCCTCTTATGTATCGACGCGCCGCCGCGCCGCATCGTACCGTGCCTTCCGCGTGCCTGAAATAAAAGACCGTGCCTCGACAATGCTGGATTAAACTCGTACAAAGGGAACTGCTTCCCCCCGTTCTCTCGTTGTCTGTCTTCTCTGCTGTTTCCCCGACAGCCACCCCCCGCCATTCGCGGCCTTCCTTCGAACAACGCGCAGACAGCGGCCGAGAGAGAGAGAAAGAGCCGTGATTTCGTCGTCGCGACAAAGTCAGAAATGATTACGCATAAAAGGTTCCCTGGAACGAGCAAAGTCCGCAGTCGGAAGTAAACGTTCGTGTCCTTTCACCGGTTCGCTTATGCAGCCCCGAGAATATTCGAGCATTCTTCCCTCGATGGATCGATCTTTCCCGCCATTCTGCGCGTAAACGCATTACGCGAAAGTATTCGAAATAGAAGTCCAACAATTTTTAAAAGATCATTGAGTTTATGGAAAAGTAAGAACGTGGATCCCACAACACGTTCATAACAAATTTTCTTTTTTTGTTTACGTAGGTATGTTCGTAAAACGGGGGTGAGGATAATTAGCAACCCCCGTAATATATATTGCGCGGCTTTTGGGGTTGGCACCTAGGACGAATTTAAGAGTGAACGGAGGGTTGTTGCACGCGCCAGCCCCAGCTGCGAATCGCATTAATCACTCGAGCTTTGTGCACACAGACATTATGCATATTCTTAACGACAGCGTTTTTCACCTAATAGAAAATCAGTACGGGCCTTCTGTAACCGCGCTACCTACGCTGGAATATTATTTTTCTATTAATTAACTTACTTTATATATTCAAACACCTGCTCGATCACCTGATCACGGTATAGAAAGGATGTTATTGTTATTATTGCTTAACCCCTTAACGCTCATATTTTTCGGGTCCACCAACAATGATCAGTTTTCTTTATTGGATCTGTTTCTAAAAATACGGTTTTTGTTAATTACAATGTTGTATCTAACGTATAATTTGAAGGAAAACAAATATCATCCCTTAAACCGTTGGATTAAACAAATATTACTTTTTCAAAGCAGTCAGACTCGGGCATGAACGTTAAGGGGTTGAGAATAACATCTAACGTCTCTTTTATAAGAATCACGAAAGACCACAGAAATTCAACAGTCAGGTACCATTAACTAAATCTGTGTTCCAAGAAGATTAGAAATTATGTGTACCGCGCGATGAATTTCGCGAATCGCTTGTAAGCTTTCGAAAATGCTCGCGAACGGAATAACACGACAAACGCTGGGCGCTGAAGAGGATGTAGAGGAGTGACTAATGGCAAACGCCTGTCACCGACACGAATCTCTTTTCGTGGCTGTTTCGAGTACCCTCGCATCATCCACAGCGCAGTCAACAGACGGGAGGGACAGTGTCGCGATATATGTGTCATTTGCCAAGTATCGATAACGTTTGTCACGCAACGTTTGCCCGTTCGTACGTAGAATTCTGATTCCACTCGAGTTACAGAGCCGGATAAGCAACGATAACATTCTTTGCTCGTAGTAAAAAGGAAAATTATAGTTTACAAGCACTTTGCTTAACGACCAAGTATGCAACACTTGTTGAGCGTTCGATAACTATGCATCGTAAATTGGCGTCAAGTAGGACACAGCTTCTCGCGTCTCGCGTCGGCAAGGATTTAGAAGGGTTAGGAGTTTTTACCGCAAGGGTGTGTCTCTTAGGAGCAGGGGGTTAAACCCAATCTCGTGGCTGTATTAATAGCTCTCCTCTCGAATTGATGGACCCCCGCGCTGCACGAAGGGAAGATAACTCATATTTTATCCCCTATTGGTCCCCGTGGGAGTGGATAACCGTTTGACGACCAGCTGAGCTCGTTCGTCTTTTACAGCCACCTTAACGTGCCACTTTTCGACAGGTCCCTGATCAAATCGCTGACAGAGAAATCTGACGATTTTCGTTCTTGTTAAACAATTCGAGAAAATTACGTCCAAGTCCTATCAGTCTCTCCCACAAACGCGTATTCGATGCTACTTGGTTAGAAATGATACGATTGTGATGCAAGCATGACCGTCGCGGAAAAAAAACTACAGGAAACCAATATTATACACGCTTAAAAAACCACAGAAATATCCCGCCATTATAGTGTGCGTAACATTACGGAGAAAAGGAAAGTTAAGTATTCCCGAATGGCTGTTCTGTTAGAGACCCTAGTCAGTGTCGTTTAATATACATGCATTGTAAAAACATCTGATCTGATCCTTTGTGCCTACGTGCATAGAATTCTCTCATCATTGACACCTTTACGTAATAATTTCCAAACCCGTACGTAAATGTTCGCAGGGCCGACTCCATAACCTGGAATCCTCATAAACTGATGGGAGCCTTGCTTCAATGCTCGACGATCCACTTCAAGGAGGACGTAAGTCTCTCGACGATTACCCTAAACGACGTGTTATGATGCACAATTATCTCGCGAGGTTCCCCCGTTGGCGTGAAACCGCGCCGGATCCCTTGACCGAACAGAATTCCGGGCTCCTGTAAGAGCGATGACACAACACAGCGGCTGCATTCCGAGGGGCAGACGTACACGTCGGAACGCAGCACTGTAGGAATTTAATTAAACTGAGAGATAACATATGTTGCCAACCGTACGACGACGGCTTGCCCGGAGGGTTTGTCCCTCCCCACGCCTGCGTAGTTATTGCCTGCGCAGGACTTCCCCTTTGGATATTAAAATTCCGTGCACCGGCTGCCGCGGAACGTTTCGGGGGCGATTCTGTTCCTTCGTCGTTCCTGACGCGGTTATTTTTACGAGAAAAAAACATTTCGACGACCAACAATCCCCGAAACTACCGAACTGATCATTCTCGCGAGACACGTTCAAAACTAAGAACTTTAATATCAGAGAGAATTATCGAGTAAATATTCAAGCGAAAAATGGGGGTAAAATTACATCAGAGATACTTGTTACCATGTACACGCTGTAAAATCTAATTTTGGGAGAATTTTTATAACGGAAATTTCATCTGAAAAAAGAGTGGTCCAGGCTTCCTCTGTTGCGAGGTAATTTTAAGTAGAAAATTTTGAAGAAATATGGAAGCACCTGGTTAAATAGTTCTGTGGAAAGTCAACGGTGCGCCCGTCCAGCGTTTAACTTGCAATTAACTTTTACGAGAAGCTTGGAGAACCGCGAGAACCGTGAGGATGTAATGGCGCCCGTTGGGGCGTCGAAGCGTTTCGTAGTCGCCATTTTGTAAATTCAATATCCCTCAGTTTCCCTCTTCCTGCGCATGAGTTGGGTTTCCATATCGACCCGCGCGCGTTCGTTTGTTCCTTTTCGCGGCTGTCAATCAGAAACTTTCCCGAACGCGGCACGAAACGCGTATTGTTCGGTCGCGGGATTGAAAGAACGAGCGGGAGAATGACAGGTCTCTTTCCCCTCTTCCGTGGATGCATCGCCGCTTTATGTTCCAGGGCCTGCTGATTAGCTGCAACCAAATGTCCGCCGAGTATTTGTTCATGACGGACAAGCTCTACGACGTGAAATACGACACCGGTGATAAGGTGATTCAATGCGGACGTCACAATGACATTTTCAAGCTGTGGCTCCAATGGCGCGCCAAGGTAAACCACTAAAGACGTTGCCTTCGACGCTGATCGTTAACCACTTGCCATACGTTAATCGTTACAATTCTTGATGTCAAGTTTCACAATCATTAGGCTACTCACTGGTCATCGATACATTTTTACATTCACGAGGTATTCGTAAAGCAAATCTATTCCTTCTCGTGACCGTTCCTTGTACGAACAAATTTAAACAAAAGCAAGTAAAATAAAAATTAATCGAAATTAAATCGTACGTCAAGGGGTTGAACAAACTTTGGACTAAACGATCGATTTATTTCTGTTGGTCCGTTACTGCTACTTTGAGACGATTGGAGAACCGCGTAACTGAGAAAACGAACTCAAATATTAAGAATGACAGAACAATCGCAAACGTTGCGATTCGATACGAAAAAATGAATGAAAAATCTAGGATAAAGTTTTCTAGTGTAATGCTTCGTTCCAAGATAATTGGATGCGATTCGCTTGGCGCGTCTGTCCATTACTCGTTGTTTCTACTTAGTGTTCAAGTTGTACTCATTGCACGCGTATCTTACGAATCTCTTCCAAGCAAAGGTTAACTTTAATTTTAGTTGTAAGCGTAAAAGAGTAGAAAGGAGGGGAATAACTGGAGTAAGGAACAGGAGACAGGTGGAAGTAGGAAATAGAGAATTTAAAAAATTAAAAAATAGAAGATAAATGGTGTTATTACGAAGCCGACAGTACCAGTATCGCCAACGTTTGGGCCAAAATCTTCATCACGAGTCAGACTCGTTAAAGCACGGGAAGGGGTTGATATAGGAGTACTATATACGTGTAATTTAATTTCCGGTTGATAGACAAATGTCTTTCAAGGCAGTGTACTAGCTGTGACATTTATGAAGACGTGTCGAGGACTTGTGTATGAGGTGTTTTTTACATTTTGTTACAGGGTACAGAGGGATTCGAGAAACACATGGATCGATTAATGGAACTTACGGAATACATGGTCAGGCGGATCAAGCAAATGCCCGACAAGTATTACTTGATACTCGAACCGGAAATGGTCAACTGCTGTTTCTGGTACTTGCCAACGCGCGTAAGGAACATGCCACACACTTCCGAAAGAATCAAGATCCTGGCAGATGTGAGATTATTTTTACTGTATTTTCTATATTAGACGCTAACAAAATGTCCGAGATTCTTCAAACTTTCCGCTAACGAAACGAAGAAGGTCAATTTATTCCTGCAAATGCTACTTCAACGTAATTTTATTAGAGAATTGGAATTAATGTATGTTATACTTTAAATGAAACAAAACGAAGAAAAATCTTTCGTACGCTCGAAACGATGGTCGAGATACTTTGGACCAGGAGTCTGCAACCTTTTAGCTGGGGTGTGCCAAGCCATTCTAATTCTTTTTACCACAAAGTAATAGTATATGTCCATCACATTATAAAATAGAGGAGTTCCAGAGAAGAATTTGATACTAAATTTATCTTTTATTTGAAAAATAAAAACCATTAAAATTGAATCGACAAAATACAAGTCTTCGCAAAGAAACTTTAGGCTTCACAGAACTTGGCTAGCGACAGTTACAGAGCAAAAATTTTTATTTGATAATTAATAATTTTCTAAAAACACCCGTTCTTTACAAATTTGATTTACTTTGTAGAGTGACCCCTGCTTTAGACGCTTCTGCTAAACTATTCAACGATTCGACTGTTTAAGAGCGTTTTCCTCAGAAATTCTCAAATTGGTCTGTTAGACCCGTGGAGAACAAAGTTTCAGAGCAACCATACGTTTTGAAACTTTATGATAATGTAAACAAACGATAAAATTCGATTTCTGGAAACCGTCAAGGTGTCGAGGAGTTAATACATCTCTATAATAAATTTACTTTGCAGATTTGCCCGATCCTGAAGGGTCGTATGATGCAAGCTGGGACGTTGATGGTCGGTTACCAGCCGGACGACCGACGACCCAACTTCTTCAGGAACATCATCTCGAGCGCCGCGGTGACGGAAGCGGACGTCGACTTTCTACTGTCCGAAATGGATCGGTTAGGCCATGATCTGTAAGAAACCTGCCTGTTCTAATATTAGACGAGCGATCAGTCGCGGTCGAATTAGGCCCCGATAATCGCGTAGAATCGAGAAAGTCAATCCTCCTGATTAATTAGAGATTCATCGGCGAGCAGGAGGAACGGGTCGCGTTTCATTCCGTGTACAAAACTATTCCGGAGGCCAAACCCAAATTCGCAATCATGGTTAGCTAATTTAAGGAACAGACTCATCTCTCTTCTTTCGTGGCGAACAGTTACGAAAGTATTTTGAACAACGATCGGCACTGAAGTAATCTCCATCGAGGAGTTCCAAACGTATTCTTACCGGTGATCTGTTTAGAGCTTAACGAAAAGAACTTCGATATTTATTTGAACGACTGCGAATTAGAACTCCAAGGCCATATAATCGTTGATCGATATTAAACATTCTTCGATAGTGAAATTTCGTTCGTAGCGTTTTCGAATATTTTTTCCTGTCGGACGGTTAAAGGAACACGTAACTTGTTGGCTTAGCCAACGAAAATGTCGATATTTTTAAACGTTCGTATTCAGAACCGGTAAAGGGAGAGAGTCGGTCGGCGAATCACCGTTCGTAGTATGATAAACGCTTCTTCAACGTATTACAAATTGCTGATGATCGAAAGATACTCATAGCACGTAAGTTCTCTAGATTTGTAAGCATAACCGAGAAACGAAAGAGTCGAGTTACAGTACTCTAGCGATGCTTCCGGCCGTAAATGTTACTAGTTTTCATCCCTCAGTGCTGTACTGTTATCACTAGAGTGAAAATACACGGTAGAACGACGCGGTATCAACGTCGTGACACTGAAGCAATAGTAAAAATAGTCGCGCTTCGATAGATTGAATTCAGTTCAGTTGATCTTGGTTTATCGATCGAGACGCGTTCCACGTCGGTTCTAAAATTGACAAAGAAATAAAAAAACAGCTCCGTTTCGTCCGAAACGTTGAGAAACGAAAGAATAGGATCGATGTCGATCTCGATATAATTAATGCTCTATTTAAGGTTCACACGGACAATAAATCAACGTTAAAAACTTTTTCAAATTCGAATTATCGTTGTTCGGCGTTCGTTCGCGCGAGCCGCGGCGAATCGCGAACGAGACAAGAGGTACAAAATATTTTTACTTGGAACGGTACGCTACGGGGATAATTACGATAGGATAATGATATTAATTAATTTCTCGTTTAGACGATAAATGAATCTGTCGGTGCCGCACGTTACTTTGTTGAGAGACTAAAAGAATTTCTTACTTATTGATCGTTTGCGAAGATATAAAAGAAAATGGCCTGCATCCATTAATATACAAATCGTATATATATATATATATATGTTATTATTTACTGTTGAAGAGTTTCACCGAATGGAGAGTACTATTTAATAATATATAGAAAACTATAAAAAAAAAGAGTATAAATGTATTTAAAAAAAAAAAAAATTATAAATATATAAAGAACAAAGCGTATATATATATTGATATATATATTTAGCGTTGAGATTTTAAAATACAAAACACAAACCCATGAAAGTACATGCTTTTTCAAGTATTCAAGCGAACGATTGTCATTTAGTTCGTCGATTATCTTTCTACGCTCGTTAAGATCGGTCGTATCGTCTTCTTAGGATACTTTTTAGGAAAATTACGTTACACTGTAGCCCGGTCCTGTCTCACTGGTCGAGTTCGTTTCATTGAAAAAAAAATAAGTCAAACGTCTTTTTTTTAGAGTGTACGATATTTGTTTGCCCGTAAAGAGAAACGACGAAGAAATTTCAATCTGTTCGACAAAACACTGAAGAACCGAACGACTCTATAGATTTCGATTCACTAGCCATTGAGTAACAAAAGAAAGACGAGTCTTAAGTCGTAAGTAAATTACAATATATCTAGGTGTAAATCTTACGAAGGATGTATTTATTGTACTATATCTAACGAATTTACCGTTTCCTTTTTCCCGTCGACGTTTACCAAGCAAGAAACTTGAAACAGTCTAGACGACATAGGAGAAGGGGGGGTCGAGAAATGTGTATTTTTGAAAGAAGAGAAATCAAAGGAACAGTCGTCTGACCACGATACCGATACCTGCAAGAGTAATTCTCTCGTGCCGTTGTTAATTGTCCATAATTTTATCGGTGTTAAAAAATTTATTCAACCGCGGTCGGCGGTACTGCCAACAAAGACGGTCGTTGCCCTGCAAATCCATTGAAAGAACACGCGAAATATTATACGTTATTTGTATGCGTAGAGGGGATGCGCGACGGCCCTATTTGCGCAGAGAACTCCATCCCTTGATTCGCATACGGCAGGTGTAGGGATCTAATGTCATTCGTGAACGCAAACGTATCGAGCGGCCGCCATGTTGGCGCGCTGCTCGAAACGATTTTCTACATTGTTCTTGTGCCCATTTCATCAGAGACCGGCTCGCGAATCGAAGGCTTGTATATACATATATCAAAAAACACGCGACAGATTTCTAAACACGTTTCTTCGGTATCTGTTATCGGCGTTGTAAGAAACGAATACGATAAGTACATCGATCGACGCGATTCGTATTCGATTCCTGCGACAATTTGTTATCGCGCTACACTTTACGCTATTGTATAATATTATTGTTATTCGTCGCGCACTTTAACGCGTCGTTACGCGCCTTTCTTTACGTAACTTCGCACCTTTCAGGCGGCTAGCGTCCCCAGCACCAGCGTTATCAGCACTATGCACCTTTTATCGTAACGTTCGTTACTTATTGCACCTTACGTTTCACCTAGATTGCGCACCCAGCACCAGTTAGAAATACTAATTTACGTCGTTGTTGTCAGAACACGTTGGAACATCGACGAAATTGGCACAAGCATAATTCACATCGGTCAATTCCTTTCCTTGTGATTTATCGAACTGTTAATTATTAGTCTAAGTTGGTAACGGATCAAGGAGAATAACAACAAAGTCCCACGTCTTCCAAAACGATGAGAACATTAAAAATTTAGAGCGAGCCTCGAAAACGTCGGGGAATCTATCCTTATACAATGTATGTAATTGACAGAAAAGAAAAATACATTTATATATATACATAGACGAGAGGATAATTATATATATATAAATATGTATATGTATGTACACGTGTGAGCAAACACTCTCCTGGCGACAAAGAGCGAAACAAAAATGGACTATGTGACGAAACACACGGCGATGTAGCAAACTACTGGCACATCGTGATCTTGTTGTACGTCAAGTACCACCTATCAACCTAATTGACCTTATTATCCACTGTATATCAATGTCTAATAAACTGCTGTTATCCCGAATTGTCGATACATGTTACGTAAAATTCTCGTTTTCGCCGCCATCTTCGTTCCTCCCGATTTAATTAATTTAGTCATTCCTTTGATTTAATTCTGAAATTATCGATTTATCGTAAAGCATTGAAATTTAGTACAATAATTAAAATCGACAATATGACTTTCAGTAATGAGTAATGGTACCAAACAGTATGAACATTAAAACTCCTTTTAACTAACAAAGCGTTCTAGTTCATTAATTATGTAGCATTCGATAGATCTAGGAAACTTGGGAGATATTCAAAACCAGTTGGACCGGGGGCTCGCACGTAAACACGTGTATAAATTATCTCATGGAGGCCAGTCGACCTTGACAAGCCCCTGCATGATTATCACATTTCGTAACAAACAATTTTAAGACGCCGTCTCATTCGTTCAAAACACCTAGAATCATGAAGTCTTTCGTAGAGTATTCATCGAATTGTGATTTTCCAATCGAGAACCTCCCGTACGGTGTTTTCTCTACGGCCAGCAACGTAAGTAAACAATAATATTTAGTACGATAAACATAGTTGCACGTAGTTCTCATCGAGAAAAAGGCTTGTAGGTTATGGGTACTAGAGAGAATTAATTTTCTAGTGTGAATGAATGGTCATTATAATAATGATTGGAACGAAAGAATGTCGTTATTCTATTCGATAGTGCATGATAGTACTGACCCACTTGATCGAAATACATATTTTTACTAAATGTAAATGTGCATGTCAGGTTCTACCAAATAACATGCCATCTTCAGGCGCCGCGAGCAAGTGAAAATTAATGGCGCGCAATTGGAAACGTTCAAATCATTATCGACAAAGTATTCAGTGTTTTTCAGTGATTTTTTTTATTCTAAATTCTATTAAACACTGCGAAATATCTAAAAGTTGCATAAGTTAACGGGGTCAAATTACACTTTCGAAACTGTAATATCGACTGCTAGTAACGTGACAGGGTAAACTAAATCGCAAATATTTCAGCCGCAAAAGAGAATAGGAGTAGCAATAGGCGACGAAATCTTAGATCTGTCCGTTATCTCGCACCTCTTCGACGGGCCACTGTTAAAAAACAATCAAGATGTATTCCGTCGCGATTGTCTCAACGACTTCATGGCTCTGGGAAGACACGCCTGGGCAGAAGCAAGATCCAAGCTTCAACAATTATTGTCAGCCGCTAATAACACGCTGCAGGAGGCAGATATTCGTTCAAAGTAAATTAAAAATTCTTCTAACTTTGTTTTTAAATATAGCAGATATTCATAATATATATATATATTATATATACTATAAGCAGATATTCGTTCAAAGTAAATTAAAAATTCTTCTAACTTTGTTTTTAAATATAGCAGATATTCATAATATATATATATTATATATACTATAAGCAGATATTCGTTCAAAGTAAATTAAAAATTCTTCTTTGTTTTTAAATATAGCAGATATTCATAATATATATATATTATATATACTATAAGCAGATATTCGTACAAAGTAAATTAAAAATTCTTCTTTGTTTTTAAATATAGCAGATATTCATAATATATATATATTATATATACTATAAGCAGATATTCGTTCAAAGTAAATTAAAAATTCTTCTTTGTTTTTAAATATAGCAGATATTCATAACATATATATATTATATATACTATAAGCAGATATTCGTTCAAAGTAAATTAAAAATTCTTCTTTGTTTTTAAATATAGTAACGAATATTTTATAAATATCCTTGTTACTCTCACAGAGCATTCGTGCCACAAAGCGAAGCAACGATGCATCTGCCAGCGAAAATCGGTGATTACACAGACTTCTATTCCTCTATTCACCACGCCACGAATGTGGGCATGATGTTTCGCGGAAGAGAGAACGCTTTGATGCCGAATTGGTAATTTCCTCGTAGCTCGTAATCGTTTATTCAAAAAGGTAATGTAATCGATACGATGGTAGGAAATATTTGCCTGTTGGTTACCACGGGAGATCGAGCTCCGTCGTTGTATCTGGCACGCCGATAAGACGACCACGTGGCCAGACACTTCCGGTGGAAGGTGCAGCCCCGGCTTTCGGCCCTTCCAGATTGATGGACTTCGAGCTCGAGGTGGCTTTCTTTGTCGGAGGACCTCCCACAAATTTGGGCGAAACTGTCCCAGCATCGAAAGCGAACGATCACATATTTGGAATGGTCACTATGAACGATTGGAGCGGTAATATTCGAAATGCAACAGGATCTCCTTCATTATCCTAACTCATAAATTAAAGTGATAAATTTTCTTTAGATTCGAAGATAATTCATTACTAGACTGCGGATGTTTATGCATTTATGGGAAATTTTAATTTTCAAAAAACTACAGAATTTAGTTAATATGCAAGAATATAAGAAATACTTAAAGTAAGGTACGAATTATTATATCTAGGGGTTGAGACAACCCTCTACAAAGCTCCAATTTCATTAATTTTATTAATAAAAATATGAATTTGCATGAAGATACGCAGTCTACTCATTACATTCTCTTTGCTAATATTATTGATGCAAAATGACACTCTATTAGTATGGATAATGAAGATTCTATTACAACGGTAAAATAAACGTAACGAGTTAATCGAGCACCGTTTGCAGCGAGAGACATACAAAAGTGGGAGTACGTTCCATTGGGGCCCTTTGGAGCAAAAAATTTCGGGACCACCATTTCCCCGTGGATCGTCACTATGGAGGCTCTAGAACCTTTCAAAGTTCCCAACGTGTCCCAGGAACCAACTCCTTTTCCGTATTTGCAGCACAACGAATCCTGTAACTTCGACATGAAGCTGGAGGTCGACATCAAACGTAAGCATTATTTTTATAAAGATTGATATCAATTCGCGACATGGTTCTCTTTGTTACGATAGCTCCAAGCGGCGTGGTTAGTACAGTTTGCCGTAGCAACTACAAATTCCAATACTGGACGCCCCAACAGCAATTAGCTCACCACACCGTAACCGGATGTAATATCAATCCGGGCGACTTAATGGCTTCGGGCACAATAAGCGGAGAGGTGTGTCCTAAATTTTTATTCGTCGACGATCGACGATTGAACGAACGATACACCGCGGTATTAATCTTTTCTCTATGTTGTTTAGACCTCTGATTCTTTTGGCTCGATGCTCGAGTTATCTTGGAAAGGTACTCGACTCGTACCGTTGAAAGATGGAACCAGCAGAAAGTTCCTGCAAGACGGCGACGAGGTGACCATTCGCGGTACGTTCATCGCTTTCGTTTTGCGTTAGAAACTGGCACAACCACTATTTGTCGTGGAACTTATTTTTGTAGCCTCGTTAAAATTTAAAACTCCCCTCTAGATTTATTTTCTTCAACGTCTAACCTTGAGAATTGATCTTTTTTTAACTCTGAAAAATCATGTGGGTTCATATGTGGGTCAATGTGTTAAATAGGTCAAGACGCCTATAGTTTACGATCCTATCGATAGTTACTCATTGGTTATCTTTTTCCAGGTTACTGTGTCGGCGATGGCTATAGAATTGGATTCGGGCCATGCTCAGGGAAATTGTTGCCCGCTCTTGCTGAATAATTCTGACGTTTCGTATGTAATTTCTCGTGCTCGAGATTGCAAATCGCGCATTACATGCGCTTCTTTTTACCTTTGTATCGTGGTTTGTAACGGAATAAATATATACTATAAATTTGTACACTCATTTGCCTTCACCCCGAATAATTAACACTGAGTGTTTGTCGACTAAATAAAGTATAAATTTTGTTATTGCGACCGAGTGTAACTGTGTCATATCCTAACCAGATTATCGATTCGAATCGTGGCCGTGGTAAATTCGATCAATAAACAGGCCAGCACAGGTGCAGGTGGAACGAGCGCCAAGGAAACATGGCCGCCATTCTGTTGAAGTAAGTAAAACGCGATAAATATTATTCAAATACCAAGTGCTTGATAGTAAATACAAATCCGTTCGATCGTTTAATCCCCCATAATCGATTCGACGTAATAGTTGAATGGTTTGATAAGAACTTTTCTTTATACGATTAACTCTCTGTATTCGAAAAAATGCTACCTGTTTATTCGAATGAATCAAGCTTCGATTAAACGTGTGATCAACGAACGTTAGGAGTCTGCACAATCTGGAGGCTGTAGACGAGCCAACGGTGAAGTGGACCATTCCTCTGAGCGATGGCAATCACGTGATAGAATTTGAACACGGTACAGCGACCGGTCGACGAGTGGTGAAACTGGATGGCAAAGAACTGATCCATAGAGATTGGATGTTTCATCTCGTCGGCGACGAAGCGTTCACGTTCAACGATAACAAGTTTGTCATCAGAGTCGATCCAATTCCAGGCGAGTGTTGCAAACGCTTACGTTTCGTTTCGAAATGTAACAACTATTAAGTGAAATTTCGACAGGTTTGAGATATTGTTATACCTTGTGGGTGAACGGGAAGAGTTACACGAATTTCGTCAAAGGCCAATCGAAGATTCTGGACACCTGGTTGGCCAGCGTTGGAAAAGAAGAGTACAGAATAGTGTTAGGTGATTGTGAATCATAGAGACTTTTTAAATAGTTAACAAAATTATAACAGGAACGTTGTATTGCCCCGTAGACAAACAGACGCAAAATATTTGGGTTAACGGCGAACAGGTCGACACGGAGGTAAGAACGGTTGCTAATTTCGTAAATAGATTTAGATTTAATTAATTTTTTTCTCTTAGAACGATTTCACCGACGATGGCGCGGAAATACGTTTCACGGTGGGAGAACTTCCGGCTACGATTCGATCGTACAGCTCTGGGCAGAAAAACGTCGGGATATCGTATTCTTTGCACATCGATGAGATAGAAATTGACAAGGAGTCGCAGCTGAAGGAAACAGAGGACTCATAAACGAGAGTCTCTACGGACCACGTATTTAGAACGTCGTTGCAACTTCACGTGCCACGAAAATTTCTTACACTTTGTAAATAGTAGAATAAATCACGAGTACGTCGAACAAAATTTACTTGTTTCGTGATCAAACGTCTGAACGTAGGAGAGACTCGCGTTCAGGTCACAAATAAAAAAAATCTAACCCCCGTCCCGTTTTTCGTTTCGGTTTATTTTGTATTTTATTCAGTGAACGAGTAATCACAATGTCGATGCGGGAGAGTATATTCAGCATCGGGTCACGAATGGCACAGAGATTGGACGATGACATACATTTCGATGGTGCATGTCCCCCGAATCGATACACTCCGCTTTTAATATGAATGAAAATTTGCTCGATTTTAGTAATGAGCTACGAAGAATTGCAGCAGATGCAGGACGATCTTCTGCAAAAGGTATGGATGTTGACCCTGGAGAACGACGTGTACGAACGATATCTCACGCGACAGGATCCTCAAATTATGAAAAGTAAACGCTGTCGATTGTGCACGGATAGAGTTCACGCTAGTGTTTATAAGCATTTTTTAACACTTTAATGGCTGCACCACTGATATCGTAGACCAAAGTGAGATACACAAAGATGCTAGGAATATTATTACAAGGAATTACAAATGTAATAAGTTGAATGTACGATGAAATGGTGACTGATACAGTAGATCACGCACACGTGACAGTGGCCGTCAAAGTGTTAATATTTCTTTCTTGAATCAGGTAATGTAACAACCTTAGCGTGAACTTTCTCCGTACACGAACATTTTAAAATTACAAAATCAAGATACTGTAAATTTATTAATAAATTAATAAATTATTTATTGAGCCATAACACGCCTGTTGGAAAGATCGAAATACGCACGAAGAGTAACGGCTCACATATTGCCGATGTCGTCCCGTATGAGTTTCCGCGAGAGTATCATGAGCCTTCACGATTTTGGCAAACGAAGCGTTACGAGCGCGTCCAGCGTGATCAGCGCTTTATCCGAAAGTCGACTGGCAACGTCAAGCATGTTGACGATAAGAACTCAGAGCGAGAGCGCAAAGTTAGCGAAACGAACGAAAACGCAACTACCCTCGATTTACATTGAAACTGTGTAAATCGAGGGTCGGATGTGTTCAATTTCTGTTCGTCCACGCGGATTGTATTCGTCCTTTGTCTCGCGACCGTTATCAGGATCACTATAGCGCATCGTATAACGATGGCGAACAAAGAGATCGATGAGATGAAGAAGAAGCTGGAGGATTTTAAGAAATCAGCCAGGAAGCAAAAAGCGTGCATGAGAGCCGAAATAGAGGAACTCGAGATTCGCATCAGCGAGGTGCACGAGGCGAAAGACGACTTTGAGGAAGAGGTCGTCTTCAAAGGCGTCGATCCCATCACTGGAAGGATTCCAGCGGAAAGAATCATCAGGTGATTTCGCGAATCATTATTATCAAAGTTATTTCCTAAAATAAAATTACATAACACATTATTTGAAAAGTGACTAAAATTGCTCGTTCGACAAAAATTGATACGCTCCTAAGTACTTTGGTTTCGAATTCCTAGATTATCGTTAATAATTAATCCCGTCGCTAATTGCGGTGATAACAGACTTTTAACGCGCAAACTCTCGTAAAGATTCATCGAGGAATGGCTGAGATCGGTAAACACGATAATAGAGAGGCTACGGTTAAAGAGCGCGACGATAAAGATGCAAATCAAAAAGGCTAAACAGCAGCTGATCCAGAGAGAGGAGCTTGGGGAGGCGCTTCACGCCGTTGATTTCGAACAATTGAACATCCAGAACAAGGATTACGCAAGAATGATCGAGGAAAAGAATCGCTACGTGTTCGAGATGAAGAAGATCGCAGGTGCTGAGCGTTAATCGACGTACGGAGACGCGATAGGAGGGTCTAAACGCCGAATCCATTATTGCAGGCCACTACCACTTGAAATTGACGCAACACAAACAGAAACTTAGCAATCTGATGCTCTCGTTGAACGAGGTGAAGAAAGAAATCGCGCTGAAACAGCAACAGATCGAGGAATTGAAAATTGAACGCGAGGAGATAGAGATTGACTTGAAACGAAGGGACGAACGTTTGAAGAAACTATTATTTTTTATGGACCGCTATAAGGTAAATTTTCAAACGTCTGCACTTTTTTCGATATATTGCACGATGATTCCATAGGCACCAGATATCCTAGACTTCGTAAGATTAATGGTGGAACTGAAGGAATTAGGAAAGACCTACAGACTTTTAGACAGACGGAGGAACATCGAAAAAATAATATTTCAATCCTCCCAAAGACACGTCCGGAACAACACTAATCCTGATATTAGCCACGAGTCTGTGTAAGCAACGAGAAAAATTACTATTATAAAAAGTATAGTAAATTACTTACATTATCTTATATTTTAGGCAGAACAAAAAGCTGATATCAGGTACGATGTTCCCGATCATATCGTACCACAAAATGTCGCTTCCTTTCATCTAGTTTCCGAGCCGTGATCGTCGAAATCGTTTCTTTGTCGTCGGACAGCAGCGGACTTCGCTCGAAGGCAACGTGGCCGCACAATTATATCTGTAAAAAAAGAATTACGCGGCCCTGTACCGTCACTGGTTACGCCACCGGATAATTGGAGTTACGGTGCTTGTCTAGAAGACGAAGGAAGCTCGAAACAATTGTCCAGAATACCACTTTCCATAATACACGTTACTTTCTTTCAAGAGCAAATTATATAAAAACCATAAGAACTAAAAAAATATACACGCAATTCCTCGTCGAAACAGAAATTTGACATTCTCAGTTTTTCATTTTTACGTTACCCTTTCGACGACATCGTTTTCTCGGTAAATTTACAATCGTATAAATTTACGAACGCATTAAGATATTCGAATAAAGTAAAAGATGGAACGATTTTGGCGTGTGCCGCGATGTGTTGTTGGGTGGTCACGCTTCACGCACCGGCGATGCCTGTCCCTTCCTCTTTTCGCCCGTGGAATATCCGTCCCGGAAGACCATGTCTCTCTTTCGCGGCGATTCAGTTTTGCCGCGACGACAACATCGACGTACCGAATGTTCGATGAGCTACCCAGTCGAAGGTGGTGTCGGTTGAAAACATCGTCGGGACGCTCCTATTTATCCCAGTGAACATTTTACCAGCAACCTAGAAAACCTCTCTGCTGTACAGTGATCTCTGCTATCTGGAACAATGAGACCAAAGATGAGAATCCACGCGAATTGAATTACTAACGGTAGTTGATTACCAAGCAGAAAATCATTAGTCTCGAATTAAATTAACCGCCTTGATGAAGTGTCCCGAATTGTTTAAAATTTTGAGAAACGGTTGAAATAAAAAGTCAGTCGCGTTGTTGAAATGGCAAAAGCGGTGTGTTCGGTGATCCGTGAACAAGCAACTAGCCATACATCCTGACTTTCCGTTTTAGATCGATCGATCGCGTCTGGATCCCATTTCCGATGAGAAGGAACAACGATTTCGAGAAAGTTCGACGACTTTCTCGATCTGTTCGACCGATTTTTTAGTTCAGTTTTGAAAGCGCAAACATGACGATCGCGGGAACATTGATCCTCGCATTGATCGTTTGCTCGTTCGTGCGGCCAAGCTTTAACAAATATTTGGAGGTAAGACGGTAACGCCAAACGATACTTTCTCGATTAACGTTAACGGTATTTCGAGGATGATGCGTTTCGATAGAGGTCTGCTTACTCGATACGGTTGAAGGAAGCTAAACCGCGGGAAGATATTAGGTCGAAGTCGTATTTACAATTCTAATAAGTCTTGGATCGTGTGTCAGTAGTATCTGGGCCAAAACATTGAATATTTCATTACACTTGTATAATTTATAATATCTCAAGGGTATGAACGTGAACTTGGGAGACGCTCTGCAGTTTCTCAGAGAATACGACAGCGAGGCTTCTACTATGTGCGCGAGAGTGATAACGGCTCAATGGAACTTTGCTACAAACGTCACCGACGTCAATCGACGACGAATGGTAAATTTACGTAAAGCTACAATTTTATATGCATATAAAGCAAATAGGGCTGAATAAACGTGTAGATGCTGGTTTAGTTGGACGAACAGACGTTGAAACTGAAATTCGATAGAATCTCCTGGCGCAAAGCTGTCAGCTTTGCTTGGAGTCGAATACCGGATCCCCTCGCGAGAAGGGAACTCAAAATGATTGCTGTGAAAGGCCGAAATTCCCTGACCGACGACAAATTTAACGAGGTAAGCGTTTCTTTAAAATTTCACTCCAACGGCTAAGATACAACGATACTAGAAACACAACTAATTTTTAGCTACACAGTTTACTTGTGGAGATGAAAGAAATATACGCAAGAACGAGATTGTGCCCCTACAAAACCATAGGTGGAGATTGCGATTTGAGTTTGGACCATGGTTAGTGTATAATTACCTAAAATTAATAAGTTGTGAGTTGCACATAATTATTCGCGTGATTCTCAGACGCTGGGAAGATAATGGCGCGATCGAAGGACTATGACGAATTGCTGTACTACTGGCACGCCTGGCACGAAGCAACTGGGCCTCAGCTTAAGAACAAATACATGAGATATGTTCAACTGGCGAATCAAGCAGCCAGATTGAACGGTAAATAAAACTGTGCAATTACAAATTTCTGATCAACCCAATAGGCGCTTTTAAACAATTTTATATACGTTGCATCGTCATCAGGATTCGAGGATGCGGGCGACCAAATGAGGGAACTCTTCGAAGACGAGTACTTTCAGCAGAATACAGCGGACGTTATGTCGTCCGTGATGCATCTGTATAAGAATCTCTTCACATACGTGAGAACGAAATTGTTCGAAAGGTATGGAGAGAAGATAAGAAGAGACGGACCACTTCCGGCGCATATTTTGGGTAACATGTGGGCTCAGAACTGGGAGAACATATTCGATGTGGTGCAACCATTCCCAGCGAGTAGAAAACTGGATGTCACTTTGGACATGATGATTCAAGGATTCACTCCTTTGAGGTATGTTCGTTGATGCTTCGATTCGTTCGTTTAAACATGAACCCAGTAACATAAAAATGTTTAAGGATGTTTCAAATAGCAGAGGAGTTTTTCACTTCTCTGGGAATGAAACCGATGCCACCCGAGTTCTGGAGATTCTCGATGTTCGAAAAACCTATCGAGAGAGAGGTGAAATGTACCCCTAGCGCGTGGGACTTTTGCAACAGAATCGATTACAGGTATTTACTGTTTGTTGATAAATTGTTTGGTACACTGCATATAGGTGTTTCACAGGATAAAGCAATGTACGAGGGTCACGATGGACGATCTGTTATCGACCCATCACGAGATTGCGCGTTTGCAATATTATCTGCAGTATAGGGATCAACCGTTATTGTTTCGAAACGAAGCAATTCCAGGTGATAAAAAGAACTGTTATTTACAAATAAAGAAATACTGACTTGCTACTTGATGAATTTAGGATTCTTCGAAGCAGTCAGCGATGCCATTGAACTCTCTATCGTTACGCCCCAACATTTGAGTAAAATCGGATTATACGACAACTCTACGGATGATTACGGGAGCAGCGTCAATTTCTTGATGTTAATGGCTCTGCGTAAAGTAGCCTACATCCCGTTTGCTTATATAGTCGATGAGGTTTTACATATTCTTTGCATGGGTTTTAAAAATTATTTTATCACAAATTCAATTCTGTATACAATTCTTTTGATGTTGAAAGTGGAGGTGGCACGTCTTCAACCATGGTGTCGCAGATATGACAAACAAGTGGTGGGAATTGAGGCTACAGTATCAAGGAATTGTACCACCAGTACCAAGGTCTGAAAGAGACTTTGATCCTGCGTCGAAATACCATATTCCTGCGGACGCTCTTTATGCCAAGTATGACAAAACTACTTCATAACATTTTTAAAAAATACTAAACATTATGGGCTTATTTTTTTCTTAGGTACTTCGTTGGTGTCGTATTACAATTTCAATTATTCGAATCTCTGTGCGAGATAGCAGGTCACACTGGTGATCTACACACTTGCGATTTTTATAGATCACGAGAGGCTGGCAGATTGCTCTCGTACGTAAACGCGTTACTATAATTAATCATTATATAATGATTGAATATGTATTATAGTATATTCGTATCACTGTTCCCTGTTTATAGCGACGTATTATCAATGGGTTCATCCAGATCGTGGAAGAACGTTGTACGACAAATGACAAGAGGCAGAACAAATAGAATGGACGCCGGTGCCATGTTGAGGTACTTCGAGCCGTTGAATCAATGGTTGAAGCGGCAAAACGAAATGGAACCAGTTGTCGGTTGGATCGCGAATCGCGAAGACACGGGTGAGTTTAAAAATAATATCGATCGTTTTATACGGGGCACGGGTTGTGAAACGCACTAATAATATCCTGCGAGTACAGGTTTTCTTCGACTTGTTTCAGCGCTGTTTTTTCACTGGTACCAAAATGGCGCACAAAAAGTCACCTCGTTCTTACTTCTTCCATTGATCATAACAGCTACACAAATTTCGATATATTAACAGAAATACATCATGATAGAAATAGCAAAGAAAATGCAAACCAAAGCATTTTTGTATATAAATTAAAGAATATGTAAATACCTCATAAGACTTTAAAACAGACAGTAGCATACTGAAACATAACGGTTTCGCCATTAGAGATAAGAAAAGGAGATATTTAATATTTATGTATTTATTGTACAACTAAAACAGTGTTATATATTAAATTTACTCGTGACTCTTATGCAATGTGTTTTATTTATAGCAACATTTAATCAACAAGTCGTTAGCTTATAAGATTTCCCTTTGAAGTTTACCGCCATCCATATATTCCCGAGTACGTATAAATTTTTAGCAGATGGCGTAGCTGGTACTACTTCTGCTTTGATTTGTAAGCTTACGTATAGGTTATTATCTATAGTGTGAGTTTTTGCAGCGTACAAAGTGAATAACGTGTGAATTTTGACGAGTATTTAAAATAGTTTTTTAAATATTCAATTTATATCAATTCCGTTAACGTAGAGGAGCCATTTCATAAAAGCTTGTCCAATGTGTTTGACTAAACGTAAAGCATCTGAGGTATCGAAATTTTAGTACGTCAAAGTGCAATCTACTAAATATTATTGGTTAGAAATAACAGCGGTCGTTTTTGAAAATGGAAATGGTTCTTAATCGAAGTACGAGATTCGTCACTGTCTTAGGGTTCAGTCCAATGTTCGTAACTAAAAATTTGTTAGATTCAGTACGTTTCATACAGTGTACTGACCCGAGACGTTGGAAATTTAAACTTACTGGTAGGTTAAATGGTGGTTAGGGCGACTGTTTTGATAATTATTCTCAAGATCAGATTTCACTGATATTTCTTCGATTTTAGAAAGGTATCCGTGTTACGGGCGCTTATCGTGTACTTATGTTCCAATCTTTAATCGTATTACTGTGCATCAGCTACCATTCAGGTGTAATATTTACAAAAATGATATATCAGTTGCGTGTTACTGTAATTCAAAGCAAAGTCCTAAAGAAAACAATGTACAGTCAGAATCGCCAAAAAAGATGTCAGTATTTGCAAAGATGAAGCAGATGACCAAAGATTATTGGCACGTCTTATTGCCAGTGCATATAGTTACTTCTTTAGGTTGGGTTGCTATATTCTATGCAGCGATTAAGAAGTACGCATAAGTACAGATTTATCACGTTATCATTGTAATTTACAATGTCATACTATTGTGTACCTATTTTTCTAGTGGTGTAGATATTCCAAAATTGCTGGAATTTATGAAGTGTAGTCAAAAGTATTTAGATATGGTACAACGATCTGATGCAGGAAATTGGGCTTTAACATATGTCTTATATAAACTATTTACACCTCTTAGATATACAGTGACATTAGGTAATTAAAAAGAAGCAATTATTAAAAGTTATAAACTCACAAAAACTCAATAAATATTATAATAATCTGGATATACAATATATAGGACTTACAACAATGGCCATAAAACGTCTCAGCAAAACAGGATATGTGAAACCTTTGCCATTTGGTAAACATGCTACAGTAATACCCAAGGTATTATCTCCATGAAATGCTCTTTGTTAAAATTAGTTAAACAAAGTATTGAAACTGTTATTTATGTAAAATATTTGTGTTTTCTTGCTCTTTTTACATGCATACATGATATAGCCTGCGTGTGAAACTCTGTGTAGGTCTTTATTGTATTGTCTAAAAATAGAATTGTGTTTCAGTGTTTCCTCATTTAGTGTATTTTCGTTAGATGTGCATATTATATTAAAACTTATATTATGTGTTTTTAAATATGTTATAGACAACAGAATCAAATAAATCTATGGCAACACACAAGACGGCATTTAAGACGGAACGACAAGTGGAACCCCCGAAAACGTAGCGACGTAACAGAACTAACGAATTTCGAACTGAATTTGAAGTTTCGGTTTTTGTAGAGTTCAAAACTGGAATTTACGAACAAATTGCCTCTTGTGAAATATGTAATATTATAATGTTATGATAAAAATATCTTGTGAAACGTTGTACCAAAAATTTCCCATCAACTTCTATCCTTTGCCTCTATAAATCAATTGATACAAATTAACGTTGATCAGGTATACTCTTCTTTATTGAACGGTTGTTTTTTACATACCGTGCATACATTTAAATAAAATTGTACTTTTTATCTACAATACTCGCAGCTTAGACCTAACCTAGACACAAAGATATTAATTAATCTTGAAATGTAGCAAATTTTTTGGCAGCACGAGTTGTGCGTTGTAACGCCGTAAAATTATTTACGATAATGCACCAAATCTTATTTTACATCTCTATTCGCTCAAGCACGGGGTTTTGTGTAATTTTGAGCTTCAGCGATAACAATCGTACAATTATAAATCATTTCGTTAATTCCTGAGCAATATCGATAAATCTCAAGAGTGTTGCGTATGTTTTCGTACTAATGACCGATACACAATATATTGTCATAATAAATACTGTTAGCAAACGTGATGTTATCACGTATGGTAAGATGTGCTATCATCATAGAATTTCAGCATTGAACGTATCCAAATATCTTAGGACTCGATTATTGAGATCCATATACTACCGTCGAACCTCGTCGCGGTGGACACGTCACAGCAATAGGATTATGTATATATATATTTATATATTATATACATGAATTAAAATAAAGGAATTATTACTTAACGACATGTTATTATGCTAATATATCACAGTTGCCTACGCAACTCGCTCATTCTAATGAGACTACTGCATTCGCGTGCAGTACCTTGGACAAATAAATAAAGACCACATATATTAAATATACCACTTACCTATATTAGTATAGCTGTCAATGGAAACTTGCCACGAATAGCGACAATATATTGCTAAAAATATCAAATAGATCATCGATCGATTATGTTATTGATTAGACCTGAATAATCTAGATGATCCCAATGGGCAGTGTAAGTATTTCGGTTCTGTAAATATCCAGTCTTGGTACGTAATCCTAACCTCTCGTTCAGAGGAACAATAAAGCTATAACTTTTCGCAGACGTTGATTGATTAGAATGTAAATCGGTACCTGTCTTTTCTACTAATTTACACCGTATAAACCAGGCATGTCCATGGGGTGGAGCCCTGCACGTAACTTGCACTCTTACGCGCCGCCATCGAGAAATAAAACACTCGACAACGTCTCATCTTTCCTCTTCCGTTGAACACTTCGTTCATAAAACAAAAGAGGTTATGTTTATTTCCGCGGATGACGTTCACATTGAACATGTGTACCGTATCGCGCGGTATCGGTTAATGTATGGTATTATGTTAATCGAACAGAGCGGCGGAAGATGTCTAAATTTCCGAGCTTCGTTTGGACATGCCTGGTATAAACTAAGGGACAAGTTAGTTTCACCGTGGTAATCGGAGCTTCGTTCGGTCGAATAACGGACGACTGATACGAGCGCGCGCAGTTCGGTTCGAAATATCCGACGAAATGCTTAAATTACGGAACTGATTTAACTTATCCCATAAATTGATAGCTAGCTGATACTGGCTGTGGTGCCCTAGGCTGCGTGTGGGATATGCGTTGGATGTGGCACGCACGACACATGAGTCTACCGTCGAGTGGGTAGCATCGTTTGTCCGGTTCGTCGGTCAACTGCATACCACAATCCTCGCAAACGTAGCAGTCCACGTGAAAATCTTTATCCATGGAAACAACCCTTACAGTCTCCTCAGTGCCCTAACAAGTAAATAGCATCGAAAAAAGTTACGACATGTTTGTATGAAATTTGCATCATCGAATTGAAAAGAGCATAATTCACCTCGACAGGAGTGATCCCCTTTCCGCATGAAGCACATTTAGGGGCGAACATTCTATGGTAATCGTTAACGCAATAAATTTTATTATCAACATCGACCGTGAAAGGAACACCGTCAAGACACTCGTTACAAACGCAACATCGAAAGCATCCTGGATGATAAGATTTCCCCATCGCTTGCAATATCTGTGAGAAAAGATTCTTGGTTAAATTCGAACACAGGTCCATCTTAACGTTTTCCATCTAATTACCATTTCCATAATTAGATGACCACAAATCGCGCATTTCTCGGCTGTCTGTTGGAAGCCAGAGTACTGCAAACAAAACGTTATGTGAACCGCGTCATCGTATCGTTGATGCACCTCCCTCAATTATCGTAATACGTACCAAGTAATCTTCCTCGCAGTAAACTTTTCCGTGAACATTATAGAATGCTTTGCCACGTAACGCTCTTCCGCAGGAACAGCATATAAAACAATTCGTGTGATAAAGATTACCCATGGCTTGACAAGCCTGACCTGCCCCAGTTACTTTTTCACCGCATGTGTGACAAATACCTGCAATAAAGCAGTGAAGTACCCCTTATAATCATAAATTACGGCACGTATTATATTTTTTTTGTATAATTACTGTCTGAACGCTAAGTTCTTGCAATCGTTATTTAAGCATCAAGAGCAACGCTTTGCGAACGGCAGTTGCAAATGTACGTGACTACGATAGCCGAGTTCCATTGGTATGGTTTAAAAATACCCTCATCGACATCCGACAATACGATCCACTCTTCAGGGTCAATAACTGTCAGAATCGCGAACGAATAGCACGATACAAGGAAACCAGCCGGTCGAAACGAACTCACAACTCTCTATGGGTAACACAGACCCTGCCATCCCTCCCGTAGGAATCCTTTATCCTTCATTCGCCGATCGTGACACTTGTAGTTTCGATTTTACGACTTGGTCTCGCTAGGACAGTCCTGTTCGAACTAGAAGCCGCCAACGAGTCGGACTGGTCTATCTATAACGAGATTAGTTACCGCGGCGAGCGCGACCTGGCCACGGCAAACTGCCGTGTACAGGACGTTACACGAAGAATAGAACTCGTATACAAAAACGAAGAGGAACACTAGGCTCGCCTAAACGCCGACCGTTTCTCGACAGATATTGGCTCGCTCGGCTCAAGCGCCTGCTCGCCCGTGCAGACTCTCAGTTCCTTGTTGTTCGTAACGAATTCTTTTGCAAACAATTGCCCCAAAAAAGGGCAACGAAAGTAATTAGCATTGAATTCTTTCATCTGGACCGATAAGTGTTCCACGACTGTGTCGTGGAATCGAAGAAAAATTGTCACCAAAAAGGGACAAAACAATGAAAGTAATTAGCATTGAATTATTTCATCTGGACCGACAAATGTTCCACGACTGTGTAATGGTAACGTTCGCTGGTTTACCGAATCGTTACAGTGACAACTATGTCATCGCATGTTTGACATACTTAAATGTTTTCGAAATTCTGGGGTCAATGTAAGATGTCGTTGCGAATGGTTTCCGTTTATCATCGATATTTGAACAGTGACATCTATTCGATAGTATCGACAGGTTATGTTTAGCACGATGAGATGTAAGTGAAAGAGATAATCGATATAATATAATCGATATCGAGGCTGTCAATTGTGGACACCACCTTACAATTTTCAGGCACATACGCGTTCGAAGGGAAAGACGGTGGAGCGTGTGCGTGCACACTACAAACGGATGTAACGCGCACACTTGTGGCGCTTCAAGTAGGTGCGAAGACACGTAGGTGGAAACGAATGGGTCGAGAGTGAATGTCAACGAAACCTCGTATTAAAAAGTTTCGCGACACACTGAAACTCGACTCCATTTTCCAAAACCGGTCTACCGGGAACTTGTGCCGTGGGAATTGGCACGGTACCCCGCTGGTTTTTATTTCCTACCAGAAGTATTTCAAATTACGGATCGGAATGTGCCAGAAATTAAGTAACGACGGAATTGCGCGCAGTCTGTTTAAATAAAATTACCAAGAACGTTGGAAATCGACACATTAGAGCGAAGCTGCGTAAACAAGGAATCGGCAACGTGTAATCAAAAATCGTCACGCACCAAAATGTTAACGAACTCGGATATATTCATAAATATTTAATAACCGTTTGCGAACTGTCCGATGAATGATTGTTCCTTACCAAAGTATTCTCCTTCCTCTTCTTGTTTCTCCATTTCTTCTTCCAGTTGCCTCGTCAACTCTTCTATTTTTCTCTCCGCTTCAGTGGGTCCCTGTAAGAAATAAATCGTATCCCGCGTTGCGATCAATATTAACAATGTTGCCATGGATCGGGATGCGTTTTCGTCGCGGGAGAATTTTTAAAAATGAAGGATAGGTATGCGACTACAATGACGTATAGACGAAAAAACGAAATATGTCAAGAAAATACTAAATGCTTTTGCAAAAATACATGCAACCTATGAATAAAATATCTTGTGTGAACTATAGAGGCGCTTTTGTCAGGAACGAACAACTTACAGCCTATGATTCAGTGCGAGTTCGGAGAAAGAACTCGTCACGAATTGTAAAATACTCTGAAATGTTCGTGTCTTTTCTACCGTGTCAAAGCTTTCCGAAATTTCTTGTAGATTAAGAAGCAGAACATGTACCGAGTTGTTTTAAATATTTTTGTTCGAATACCCGTTAATCTTATCGTTACATGGGTCAGTCGTTATGTAAAATATTAGCGATAGTGGTTGACATTTGTGACATCATCGCGTAAGCATGAAAAGCGACGCAATCTTTTTTCTTGATTTCGCATTCATTTCTACCATGCATGTTATTTTGGGAACGGAACGTTTATAATTATTAAATTAAATTAAATAAATTCACTGGAACGAAATTTGACAATTGTTACTTGAAAAATCAGTCACCGTTCCTTTAATATGATATCGACATGCAAAATAGCTCAACGCTTGGCGTTCGGCCAAAATAAAACAAATCGAAAGCAGCGACGCGTTCCCTTAACCCAATTAACGCGAATACTGCATTACATTGTAGCTGGTTTTTATAAACACGAAAGATTGGATACATCGATTAGCGGTTCGGAAAGATCAGTGGTTTTTTTTTTAATCGTGTAAAGAATTTTCTTACCGAAGATCTAGGTGGTATAACATTGTAAGGAAGCAGTCCCTTCCCAGCCGTATGTTTCATTGGCGGACTAACTGACTTTCTTTCTTCTGGTTCTGGTTCAGATGTCCTTTGTAATACAGGTACACCAGCATTCAAAAAAACTGGACCAGCTACACCACTAGTCACCCCCGGAGGAAGGCTAGTTATTCTGGGACCATGAACATTTGAATCAGAGTCAGTGGCAGTTGTTGTAGCACTAGTTACCGGTGTTTGTACTTGGCCACGAAGAGGACTTCCAATGGTATTATTTGAGGAAGATAACACGTGTCTCGGTGAATTAATGACATTCTGTGTAATAGTATCGGATGGTATTTGATTGTGAGTTGGACTTGTCTTTGGGGAGCCTCTCACACCATTATTGTTAGCTATTATTCTGGAAGAATCGCCGCGACTGGGTGAATATATGGGTGGTGTTTTTGCTTCAAAAGGATCAGGTGCATCCTGAATGAAGTTTCTATCATTCTGCAGATTACTTAGTCTTAAGTGTTCTGTTGATCGGTTAGAGGAATAAATTGGGGAATTTCTAGCAGGAAATTCTGATCTAGGTTCTTGATGATGATAGTTCCTCTCGTTTGGCGGTAATACCCTACTTGGAGAGTAACAGGGAGAATTACGGCAAGCAGTTTGCTCACCTTGTCGCACACCATAGACAGGAGAATTCCTGGCTTGTGTCTCTCCAGTAATATTTGCACTTGTAGTTCTTGTCGTTGACTCCATATATGGCTTGTAACTTTGGGGACTGTCTTGACGATATTGGGATTGCTGTGTACCTTCTGTATGATTTGTTGCCCGGAAGCCATGTTGTCCACTCATTGTACTATCCAAAGAACCGCGATAATGGTGCGGTTCCGGTGGTAAACGTATCGGTGGAGATTCACTATGATAAGGGAGTCCAGACCTAGGAGAATGTTGTTGTTGCTCAGAACTATAACTAAAATTTCTGGTCGGTGTTTGTAATTCCGATGGTGGAACGTAAGCACTTCTGCCAGCTTGGTGATCCAACGACGAAGAAGATCCTTGTAAGTACCTCGATGCAGAGGAATCGATGGAGCGTTGTAAATTTGAACCATCGTAACTTTGGCCACGTATGTTGTTTCCTCTCTGTTGCGTATACGATAAACTTTGCGTCATACCGCGTTGATTTTGTACTTGACCTACTTTTCCAGTCATGACGACATAATCACCTCCGTTAATCGTGGCTGGGTGATAGTAATTGGGTGGGACTTGAGGGCCTGGTTTATTTTGCGTATTCTCTGTGAAGTGTACCTCTTGAATATTTTCATAAACAGGGGGAGCTTCGTACGGAGGTAATTCTTTTGCCGGTGATACAGACTGGTATCGATTTCCAGTAGGTACTTGTGGTTGTGCTTTCCTAAAAGTAGGTTCGTAAGATTCGCTTGCTAAAGAACCCCGGGGGCTACTCTTGGGACTTTTCCTAGACTCCACTGGATGATAATAAGGGGGATGGGGTTGACTTTGCTGCGGATAATAATCAATATTTTCGTATACCGGTGCTTGTTGATGACTCATACGACTTTGATTCTGTTGTTGCTGGGCACTTATCTGCTCCACAGGTTTCGGCGTAGCAAACCTTGATGCAGCTATTATGTTCTCACGCTCGTATAATTTGTAATCAGTCGTTGACACTTGTCTACAGCTCTCAGAGTTGCCTTCAATGAAACTCTCGATAGCACCAACTGGTCTACCAGGCCCTCTAGCATCGTTTCTGTTGGCAATATTTCTTGATACGGGTACCTGGGCCTCAGGTCGTGATCCTGTGACCCTACCGGTACCCGATGCACCGCCGGCGTCACTGGTTTCATCCCCGAGATGCAGATAACCTAGCTTTTGTACGTAAGAAGCGTCGGCCGAGTTGCACATTGGCAGTGATTCACAGTAAGGCGATCAACGATAATAAGAAAGATTTTATCCTCGTTACGTAGAAACTATCCGCGTGTACCGTTTAGATCCACGTTTTTGCAATTCCGTGGAAAATCGCTATCAAACGATTCGACATCGTTCACAAAGCTGAATCAGCTCGGTGGTCGTCGTGTCAAATCGATCTCCCTCAACTTGTATGCACCCTCCCCTACCAACTTGTTTTCACTTGCACTGCGTGTCGTACACACGCGTGATTCTCTCACGGAATACGACAAAACGCGACGCACGGTATTAAGAAGAAGTTTACTCAACCAAACCAGAGCCGTTTCCCCCCACGATTTTGGGATACGCCCCGCGATCACGGCGCCTCGAGTTCGTCTCGTTTCTTTTCGGCCACTGTCCGTCAACCGGCGTATCTTAGAGTCCTGTCCAGCACCGAAAATCACCACCTGCGAAAATTCACACGATACGCACACACATATACCCCGCACGCATCGTGGTTCGTCAAACCAGATACCTGCGAGACATTTTCCCCTGCTACGAGTCATCCAAACGAAGCTTGCGTTGCTGCGTTTCGTTGCTGTGTGGCGCCACGTTTATCGTTGCAGTCCCGTCTTTTCAGGTTAGGATAAACAAGGTATCTACTTTCGTGAACAGTGAATTGGCGCTCCTGTTGGCGTCAAGTGGAATTAAAACGATTATTACTCGTTGTCGTTTCTTTTTTAGAAACAATAAAGTATCTCTTCAGTTGCTGGTTATCGTAGAAGATAGTTTCAAAGCCTATAACCATCATCAACATATTTCGTAAGTTGTAATGCATATCGTACACTTAAAGTCTACCTAAACAGTTGTATCTTCGAGTAATCACAAAACGGGAGCTCAAATGTTGTTTTAAATGAAATTCGCACGAGACGTTCTTTCCGTCTGCTGGTATTAAACAGAGAAAACAAAAATGCACACGACTCTGCCTAAAACAGGTTTTTTTTTCAGGACCTGCCTTCTCTCTGGAAGAGAATGGACGGGGCAACAGGTAAAGATGCAGGACCTCGTTCCACGCGCCATCATGTATTCACAAGCACCGTGTTCGGCATAATGATGCGATGCAATTCCAATACATCGTTCGTGTTTTACACCCGCTACAGTTAACACAGAATAATTATCTATCAGTAGCATCTCTTGCATAGAATTGCCTTTCGTAGTACGTGTTCAGCAATTCAGAAAACGTTCAGCGTGTCCCTTTTACCCGTCTCTTATCGCAATCGTAACGCAACGATTCCTGTTACGTTTATCTGAAAAGACCTCTTGTGCTCCATCGAAATATAAAACGATGACATTGGTTCCCGCTAGGGTTCTAGATTTTGGATAATTGACGCCTTGTTCGTAATCGTATTACAGACATCGCGATCGATGGGTTCTTCGAACGAGAGTACACCGTACCCCTTCTCCCTTCGTTTTAATTAATTCGTAACAATTCGATACCGTTATTACTTCCTCCGCGTAGGGAATTATTCTATTCTGATGTTAAAACAGTTTTATACAAAATGTTTGCAATGTATGCTGTCTTTTTATCGCGGAGTGCGGTTTCCGCCGTTCGACCGTATTCAAGAAAAATTTTTGTGCTCATGTTCCGATCTTGCACGTGTTGCCGTAACCAAAGTCCCTCTGTCGTCCTACGCGGGAAAGGAACCAACTTTTCATTGGCCGTGTCTCGCAGCTGTTCGCCGCACGCGATAACGTGGGCGACGCGATCTCACTCAACGAAAACTTTATACGCATTTTCGAAAGGTGAATAAAAATCCAGGCCTCCGAGCCTTCGAGCCACCCACGAGATGCTGGCACCCACGTTTTTCCAGGCACCTGTGCTGCACGTCAATACGTTGTTGGTCAATACCGGTTAATCGACCGCCCGATACGTACTGGCATGTCACGTAACGCTACGTATTCGGAGTTCAGGTTTCTATTAGCGTATTGCTTCTGTCGTGTCGACCATATTTAACTCCGCAATCATAATTTTCTAAATTATTTTAGCCCGAAGAATCACGATATCGCGAAGTTGGGATAATTAATGGGAAAGAGACGAAGTCAATTATCCCCTTTTAAGCGCATCTTACATTTTGTGTAAACTCGCTTGGAAATCGTAATGAACAGATTTACATCGTCATTGGTCAACCGGGTCATTCGCATTATTTACAGTTTTGTAAACTAGACTTCTGTCGTGTCGACCATATTTCACTCCGCGTTCATAATTTTGTAAATTATTTTAGCCCGAAGAATCACGATATCGCGAAGTTGGGATAATTAATGGGAAAGAGACGAAGTCAATTATCCCCTTTTAAGCGCATCTTACATTTTGTGTAAACTCGCTTGGAAATTGTAACGAACAGATTCACATCATTGGTCGACAAGGTCATTCGCATTATTTACAGTTTCGTAAACTAGACAGTCCTAACAATTTTTCAGATACATCGGTACTCTAACTTACAAACAATATTCCATATATGTTAGGTTTCCTTTATCAGAAATTTAGTCCAAGACGCGTGACGATAGGCTCGATACAACAAGAATGATTGAACGACGTTTCAAATTAGATATAACGCGACGAATGTCCAGGTAGTTGGATACAATGGGCATGTGTCGCGGACGGAAGTGCAGCGACCAGGCGCTCACGGTGGCATAGTTCGTTTCTGTCAAAGTCGCGGTGGAATATGACGTTGGGTTCTCGCGTAGTCGTCACATCGATCCAACAATAAACGCAAGGTTTACGACGACAGGGCCGTGCATGTGTTCACGCGTACACGCGTTACGTGCGCGTAAAGAGTTGGCTGAAGCGAGTACACAGGAAACGCAGCCCTGTGCTACCCGCATGGCTCGGAATGCACGAGAATAGAACTGCGTTTGCGTGTGTACGGGGTTTCATGGCACAATAGAATTACATCTACACGCGTGTATTATACGTAGGAACACAGTATGCACGTACCACATGCACACGGTGTTGAACTGCTAATGATAATTCTTTCGATACTCTTAATTATAATATATTATGGGTATGAAATTAAGAAAACTTCAGATGCAATTTCGTTTCAGAATCGATCGAGAGAATCAACCCCTGGAGGGGTAACCATTGGTAGCCAAACGCCCTGTATACGAGCCAGAATTGAACAGTGTACGAGTGGACGCTTAACAACATCCTCCATGTAAGTACGATTGAATCGTATAGGTGTCCACGTGTGTAAATTGTAATGGTGCACCTGTGTGTACACGTAAGAGACCGACGTGGATGCACAATGGCCGTGCATACGATACACGGGGCGACCAGGTAGGTTGTTCCTCGACCCCGGTGCTGACTGAAGGCGGAAAGACGATTTCTACGCGGAAAAGATGCAAGACTGATATCCTGGCGCATCGGGATCACCTAATTATCCGGCCTCGTAATTAGATACCTTCTGTTTGCCGATTTATATTGCTCAAGATCGTATTGTTAATTCACCTTCTCCGCGAACGGGGGTCTCTCAGCTTTCTAAAGGGAAATTTAGAAATAATCGTGTGATATTCGGGAAGAATCGCAATGTCACGCAATTAGGGATGCTGCTTGGAAAGCTTGGACCAGAAACGTCGATACAAATTTTATATAATGAACATATAGTTAACGACCTTTCAGGCATTGTTCGTTGAACAAGCTCCTTAGATTTTTAGAGTAATTTCCAAGTTGCACGAAATGCAGAATTGATTTTTTTTTGCAGAGAAACGAAAATGAATATAATATCGGTCGACGACTTTTTATGCCACCGAATCGAATTCCTATGCTTCATGGCCCGACGTCGCTTCGAGCAACGGAAGTCTTGCAGGGTATACGTTGCACGTGTTTCTCTCGTGTGTTCTTCGCCCCACCGACGCCAGTACACACGAGAGTATGCAACGTGTATCGCTGACTCTTGGTTGTTACCTTGTCAGGAATTCAGACGGAAACCCGGCCGATGTCGCAACGACGCTCCTCGTCGCGAATTTCTCTTCGGTCTTGTCAGATTTCTGTAGATCGTAATCAACTTTGAAAAACATACGATCAACTTGGGGTTATGAAAAAAATAAAAATTCAAAGGAGTTTCGCAATAGTGTAACCAGGAACATTAAAAAGGTGTCTGGTACTTGGCTATTGACATAAGGGTTAATAGGTTTCATGGTTTTCTTAACACTAGATTTACGGAAGCCGTCAATTTGACGGATGTCAGATTCCATATTTAACACGTTCACTGCCAGATCAAAATTGTATAATGTTCTGCAAAAATAAAATTTTGATTTTAGACCACTATAAGGTATATAAACTAAAATTTATTTCAGTGCTTATATTTCTAGCCTTCTTAAAATTCTCAAATTCTATCCAAATTTCATACCCTCAACGTCTTAACTTGAGAATTAATTTTTCTAGTATGATAGTGATAAATCCTGTCATCCATATATGGGTGACGTGGCAGTCAAAGTGAATACATATTCTAATTAAAAAAAAAAATCGTATTGTAAGGTAATCGTCAATATGAAAGGTATCAATAGATATACGTGCGATAAATGCCCGTAAATCTAGTGTTAAACAAAAATCCTGAATGTTATCCAATTTTCTGTTCTTAAGAGTAATTTAATAATGAGCTCTCGTGGATGGACGACGATCAGCGTTACCCACGTTCCACTCGTGTTGCTGGACAGAGATCGAAATCGTGGAAACGACTCCGTGTCAGGTGGTTCCTTTCTATCGCGCAAATGCATCTTTATTGTCGAACGCGGCGCGCACTCCGCAGAAATAATCCCGGGACAAACGTCGTCCACGTTTCCCATCTATCCCCGAGAAACAATAGCTTCTCTGACAAAGAGATAAGGCCGCAGCTTTCCTTTCTCAAGAGCTCGGCTCGAGCCGAGTAACGACGATCGCTGGAGGCGCAGCTTTTCAATCGGCGCGATCCTGGAAGCAAGAGGAAAACGGAGGCAACGTAATTCAGAACCGTTGACTCTAATTTATAACGCTAATTGCATCAATCTCTCGATAGAATGACATCGGTTGGGGAAACAATTTTATTCGAAGATAAGGCACGGGTACGAATCGTGCGTTGATAAAAATAAAAAGTACAGTAAAAAATAATGGAGTCCTATTTCACAGGTGTGATCGAAACGATTCGATTGATCGAACAGAAGTTATGATTTTTTAAACATACGCATGAAATTTCGAGAAAACATTTCTGGCCACACGGTATACTTTCAGTAATGAATTTTTTTCTCGAAAGTGGGTAGGATTTCAGGGGTATGTGTAATAACTCAAAATGATTGTAATTGACCCCTGCAATCAGAAATAATTTTTTCAGAG